GCGTGTCCGCGGCGAGCTGGAGGCGGATCGGAGGCAGGCCGAAGATCAGGCGATGCAGCACAGCAGGATGGAGGCGTCGGTGAGCGACCTGCGGGGCCGCGTGGAGGAGTCCTCGCGCAGGTTGGGCGAGCTGCGTCAGGACCAGCTGTCGCAGACCACCGTGCTCCAGAGCCGCGTCGAGGCTGCCGTGGGCGACCGCGAGGAGCACCAGTCGCACATCGACAGCATGCGCCTCCTCATGAAGGAAGAGCAGGGGAGGCGCAACGCAGAGGGCGCGGCGCTTCGCCAGGTCGAGGCTGCCGTTGGCGAGATGCGAGGGCGGATCGATGAGCTGTCTGCGCTGCCGACCCGGATTGAGTCACTGGAGGTGGCCTTCAAGGACACCATTGCCGCGGTCTCCCGCCAGCTCGACGGCCCCCAGACGGACACGGCAGCGCTGTCCGGGCGCGTCGCGGCTCTGGAGCAGGGCCTGGCGCGGCAGCCCTCGCGGGGGGAGCCCCAGGGCCACGCGGAGGAGCTCTTCGCCTCGAGCCTGGCGGACCTGCGCAGGCGCCTCGAGAGCGTGGAGGGCGCCAGGGGCGACCCGGTCCTGGCTTCTGGCGCGGCTGCCACTGCAGAGGAGGTCGCGGCCCTGCGCGGCGACGTCCAGCAGTTGGCACAGGACCTGGCCGTCGAGCGCAGAGAGCGCTGCAGGGCAGTCACGGACAACAAGAGGCTCACAGAGGACGTGGCGAAGGCGGCCGCGGCCACCATCGAGCGGGCCGAGAGGAAGCTGCTCGACGAGTGGTCCGGGGCCGGCTCCGAGGGGCACTCCCCCGCGGTGCGGACCCCCATCGACTTGAAATCCCCGCTGGCGGTGGACGTGGACCAGGAGTGGAGCCCCGGTGTCGGCCAGGCGGCAGGGGTGCGCTCCTCGGCGCTCAGCTCGGGCTTCGCGCGGCTGGTCGGGGAGATGGACGCCGAGCTGCGCGTCGAGCTCAACTCGCGCATCAAGCTCCTGGCCACCGAGCTCCGCAGCGAAATTCTCAGCGAGACGTCGGCGAAGGTCGCCGGGCTGGAGTCGAAGACCAGCGCCGCGGAGGCCAACCTGCAGGCCAGGCTGCAGAGGTTGGCGGAGGACGTTGCCCTCTGCCTGTCCAAGGAAGACGGCATCCAGCTTGTGCAGAAGGTCTCCAGCTTGGAGGGCAACGTGAAAACGAACTCCGGCATACTGAGCGCTTTCCTGGAGGAGCAGAAGAAGAAGGCCACGGTAACCGCGGTCGACGAGATCGAGGCCGCTGTGCAGCGTGGGATGTCCGCGGAGCACCCGCGGACCCTCAACCAGTCCAGGAGTCCGGGGGAGGCCCCGGCGCCGGGGGGAACCATGCACACCGGGCCCAGCAGCATCAGCGGTCCTTCGGCCAAGCAGCATGGCCATGACACAGAGGTGAGGGGCGCGGAGCCAGCCCGCCCTGGGTTCGCGGACTACCCCGCGAAGGACCGCCTCCAAGGCTTGATCTCCGCGATCGACAGAGAGAGGTCCATCGACAACTCACTGGATAAGCTGAGGAAGTCCATTGCCGCGGGGTCTCACGCCAGAAGAGAGGATGACACGCCCGCATCAGCTGACCCAGCCTCTGCGGCGCAATACCACACGGGGCAGCATGTGGAAGATTCCCTGAATGCCTCGCGCGGTGCTGTCTCCACTGTTTCCACCGAGTCGACGCGTCGCGGGAGCACCCCTGCGTCGCGATCCGGGTTCCAGCAGATCGGGCGCGGTCCGACACCCCCGCTGGGGCGTTCGGGCCAGACCCACAGTGCCGCAGACGCGGCTGCGCCCAGCTCGGCGTTGCCAGCGCGCAGGGACCACCACGACCAGTGGCGCGCGGCGCTTGCGGACGGCGTGGACATGGCCACGCAGTCGTGGCCCGGGGCCGAGGCGCGCTACGCGCAGAGTCCGGGCGTGGGCCTGCCGCCCTCGGCCGCGGCCCAGGTTGGGCTGCCCAGCAGGCAGGGCGGCGCGCCGTGGCAGATGCGCGGCGCCACGCTGGCCGCAGCGCCCGGGCAGCCCATGCCCGGGCAGCCCGGCGCCCAGGCTGCGCCGCAGCAGCGGCTCTCGGTCCAGCAGCCCGGCGGGGGCCCTGCGCAGGCAGTCCGAAGAGGAAGCACCGATGCCACTACCCTTTCCTCGTCGTCGTCCTTTTGGGCCTCCTGGGAGGCCCCCGTCACCACGGCTGGGGTCGCTTCGAAATTCTGGTCGCAACGCACCCTGGGAGAGGCCCAGGGAGTAGCGGGATCGGTATTTGTTGGTCTCCTCAGGCAGGGGTCCAGCCCTGGATGTCCGGGGCGGTGCCGATGCGCCCAGGCGCATACCCAAGCTCGAGCAGCTACACTGTCTACAGATAGGTGTGATTAAGTGGGATTACTACTGCGCGGGATGGCTGTTATCGTCGACGACTCCCATGTCTTTCAGGCGTTGCCCTGTCCCTCCCCATTCCTGCCTCTGCCTACCCCTCAGTCTCCTTGCCATTGTCCTTCCCCCCTCCCTCCTTATTACTCCATCATCCGCTTGCTCCTCCCCCTCCCTCCTCTCACATGCACATCGTGCGAATACCTGGCAAGCTTGCCCCGTCAGCTTTGGTGTTTTGGAGCTCTGGCTCATACTTGAGCGTCACCCGCTTCTTGACGAGCAGTGGCCAGGCTGATCGCACCTCTCCTTAATTCCTTCCCTTGTGCCCTCATCCTCGTCCCTCTATTATGTCAACGTTGGCCAGCGGCACGTCCGTGATTCGGCAGCCATGGCACTTTGATTCTCCAGCGAGCGTTAGTTGTGACGTGGCAGCCGCTTGTCGGGGTGGCTCGCAGGGAACACTCATCCTCTGTGTCTCCCTCTGCCTCCTCCTGTTCCACCTTTTCCTCGTAGTCTCCCTTTCCCTTGTTGTGTTGCTCTTCCTCCAGCCTGTGATCTGCCCCCCACTTGCTGTACGAACAAGTTGCCCTTGCCATACCCAAATGCGGTCGCATGGCCTGTGCCAAGACGTGCGCTGAAGCCAGCGATAAAGCGCCCAAGGTCCTCGTTGAAAGAGCTGCATTGTCGAGGTTTCTGTACACCACGTGGTTCGTGGAGCCTCTGCGCACCTTTGAGAAGCTGATCCCACGCGAAATCTGGCACCCGTGAATCGCCATCACATCGGTGTGAGCCGGAATGAAGTCGGCGTGAAGGCCGATCCACGCTAGGCTCAAATTCGTGCCCCACATCCCCTCTAGGAAACAATCATCGTGTAAAGCGTTTGGCAGAGTGAGAATTCACACCGATTAATTCGAGGGTGAGCCAATTCTTGTTGCTTCGCGTGCCCCCATCAGCCCATCCAGAAACGATGCCCAGGCGAGTTGCCTTGATCAGGACAGTGTAGAAGCATGCAGTGGAACAAGTTTGGAGTCAGCCTGATCAGACCCGGGACGAGGACGAGAACGAGGAGGACGAGGACGAGGACGAGGACGAGGAGGATGACGACGAGGAGGAGGACGAGGAGAAGGACGATGAGGAAGAGGAGGAGGGCGAGGAGGAAGAGGACGAGAACGAGGAGGAGGACGAGGAGGAAGACTCTTGCAGCCATCTTGGGGCCTTCTGATGGCCCTCTTAGGGTCCTCTTGTGGCTCTCAAGCGGCCCACTTCGGGCCCTGTTGGGGCTAGTTTGGAGGGTCGTGAGGTCCTCTTGGGGCTCGTTCGGGAGGTCTTGGGGCCCTCTTGGAGCCCTCTCGGGGGCCTCGCGGGGACCTCTTGGGAGCTCTGCAGGGCATCTTGGGGCTATCTTGGAGGGCGACGATCAAACGAGAGGGCGTCCTCGATTTCTGTCCCCCCCCCTCCTCATGGACCTTCCAAATCGCCTCCTGAGGCCATCTTGGGGCGCTCTTTAGGGGCCGCCTGGGGGGCCTCTTGTGGCCCTTCTTGGAGCTCTGCTTGGTCATCTTGGGGCCACCTTGAGAGGCCTCAAAAGCACATTGGAAGCGAAAGATCGATACGGCACAAATCACTGATTTCCAGAATCATGCCTTTGAAAGAGTTCGGCCTCTTGGGGGGTCCTTCGGGGGCTCCGAGAGTACTTCGGGCCGTTTTGTGGCCCTCTTTGGGCTGTTTGGAGGTATGTCCGAAGCTACATTGAAGCATCTTGGGCTATGTGTAGCAGTCTTGGAGGCCATCTTGGGGCATCGGAGGCCCTCTTGCAGCCATCTTCCCTTGGGAGGTGGCAGAGAGAGGGGTAAACCCTTTTCGTGGAGGGGAAGAAGGGGCCTGGGAAGAGAGAAGACAAACACCGTTACTGTTAGACGACTTCTGCCGGGGGAGGGGGTGATAGGATTTCACGTTGGTTCACCAACGATGCTGCGGGCCCGTCGCCACCGACCCCCCCTGGCCAGGCCCCATGCACCGCCCCCACCCTCTGGATAGGGAGAGAGAAAGGAAACGAACGCGGCGACACGTGTGCGCCCCGAGCCAGGCAGCCAGCACTCTTCAGGCATGGAAGAGGATTTAAGCCACCAGGAAGGGGTTCGAAGTCGACGACGATCTGGCGCGAATTCGGTGGGAGTGGACTCGCGCCCTGTCGTATGCGCCGCTTCCCTCTCGCCTCTTCCATCGCATTCTCCGGAATGGCGCTGGACAAGACAGCGCGTCGTAGAGCTACGCCGACGCCAGGTCGCTGGCACCCCAGAGCTTTCCAGATGGAGATGGCACGAGGAGTGGTAAATTTCGGTGTCGCCCCAGATCCTGACCCCCCGAGGTCCTCGGATGCCCCATGGAGGCTTCCAGAGGCCTCTACAAACCTGAAGAGAACAGAACAACGTACAAGAAATTCGCCCAAGCACTTCAGTAAACAAAGCCCCCCTCCTCGATCCTCGAAGGGGGGCAGAGCTTCATGTCGGGGAGGAGGAGGAGGAGGAGGAGGAGGAGGAGGAGGAGGAGGAGGACGTCTCTCCTTGGCCTCACGACTCCCCCTCGCTGCCGCAGCGCCCCGCGCCCTCAGGCAGAGGAAGCGCAGGGGAGAGATGGAGGTGTTCACCCACGCTTACCTGAGCCAGCCCTTCTCGGCCTGGAAGTGCGCCGTGTACGGGAGCAAGGACAGGAGGAAGAGGAGCAGCACGAGTTGGAGGATCCAGGCCTCCCGATTGGGGTCCGAGTTAGGCGGGGTCGGATGAGTGCGCCGCATCCTCGACGCGTCGGCGACGCGACTCAGTGTGGAGCCCGAGTTTCTCCCCGCCGACGGCGCCAATGCGTCGCCCACGTCTCCGATGCAGCGCCGATGCATCAGCGATGCGGCTCAAACGGCTCAAGCGTCTGCTCGAGGCAGACAGGTCAGCTCGGTATTCCAGCGCGAGGTGTGTCGCTCATGATGGGACCGTGCAGTACCTGTAAGACTAGGAAGCGCCTGGCCAAGACGATCAACCATAACCGTCCGCTTCCACAGTGGTTCCGCATGAAGGGCGACACCAAGATCAGGTAATTACAACAAGTTCCGGCGCCATTGGCGCCTGGGCAAGATCGGCCTCTGAACGGCCAATCGTTCCGTTGCCAGCGCGCCCGCTGCAAGGATTTCCAGTGAAGGACGTGTCGCGGCGGGTCTTCGGATCTTCAACGCGCAGCCACTTTCTGGCATCGATGCGGCGCGATCCTCCGACCCCCTTGATTTTCGGGGGCGGTCAACAGGGGGGTGATGACCAGGGGGATGGGTACCATGGCCAGTGCCATGATGTGTCCCCAGATTTCTTGGCAGCCTCATCTTCTTTCAATACGTCCCCTGGTCCTCCGCTCGTCCTCGCAGATGCCTCGGGCCGTGATCTGCGACCCCCCCCCCCGCTGGGACGCCCCCCTCTGTGGACACCCCCGAGCGACGCGGCGCGATCCTCCGACCCCACCTGCTCGGACCCCACCTGGGAGGCCTCCAAGGGAGGAGGGCCCTTGCCGCCCGCAGGGGCTCAAAGAGGTGGCGGCGCCTCGCGCAACGCGGCCTGGGTCGCAGAGGTGCCTGTCTCCGAGGGCTGGCCAGGGCCCCGTGCATCAGGACGCGTCCAGCCGGGACTGTGCGAGTTTCACCCGGGGGGGGGGGGGGGGACGAAGGCTGGAGAGTGCTTCGGCCCGCGGCCGCGGTCTTTTCTCGGGCGCGTCAGCTTCCTGGCTTATCAGAGTGCCCGTGGAGGGGGGTCCTGGGCGCGAGGGCAGCGGAGGCTCTGGAATTCCAGAGGGCCCCCTCCCCCGTCCCATGACCTCGCTTCGGCGAGGGACAGCGCCCCAGTCGGCGAAAGACTATTATTCTCCGCCCAGGGCGGGCTCGTCGTTCGTAGTCGGTTGTCGTCGCCGCCGTCGCCCGTTACTCGTCGCCTGATGTCGGCGCACGTGCTTCCGTCGACCTTTGGGCCGCCCAAGTATCCACTTATAGTTCTTTGGATTTGCATGAATCGCGCATCGCGGGCCGCGAAGCGCCAAGTCAGGTCGCCTAGAATCCGCGACGTGTTGCGAGGACGCGACCAGCAGCAGGCCTCTTCAGAAGGCGGCAAAGTTTCTCAGAAGCCCCCCGGCCTTCAGAGAAATTGTCGATGTTTTCGGGAAGCGCTTAGAATATTTTCGGAAGGCTGGAGACCCTCCGAGCCTTCTGAGAAGGCCCGCCCCTTCTCACTTCCATCCGCCGATGGACTACCAGAAATATCAGCACAGAGAGGTCGAGCGGGACAGCCCCCCCCCCCACCCACCAGCGGGCGGCGCAGGACAGCGGAGCCTCTAGCCGTCGGGGGCCGAGGCCCGCGCAGCCGCGGCCTTGCCCAGAGTCGACGGCTCGGGAGGCTGAGGGCGTGCTGTGTGGCGCGCACGGTGCGGCGTGTGCGGCGCACTGAGGGGCCTGAGGGGTGCGGTGCGCTTCGGCGTGTGCCGTCGCTGCTCCCGGGAGACCTGCGCTGCGCTGGCGGCAGCGTGGCGGACTTCGCTGGGCTGGCTGCGCGCCGCGTCGCGCGGCTCCCCAAGATGCCCGACCAGGGGGTTCCTCGCCGGGCGTCGGCGATCGCGCCTGCCGCCCGTTTTGCCAGTCAAAGCGCCGTCGCTGCTTGCCGGCTGAGCATGTCCGTGGTCCCTCGATCTCGTCCTCATGGGGCCCGTCATCGGGCCGGGACAAAACGCGAACCCCCGGGGGAAGGGGATGGGCCTTCCCTGGGGCCGCGCACGGAACAAATCACACGGTCGAGCGCCCGGGCCCATGGCCACCGAACTCACCGGGCCCGACCCGCCCGCCGCCCCCTTCCCTGGGGAACGGGTCGGGGCTTCGCGCATGGAACAAATCACACGGTCGAGCGCCCGGGCCCATGGTCACCGAGCTCACCGGGCCCGACCCGCCCGCCGCCCCCTTCCCTGGGGAACGGGTCGGGGCTTCGCGCATGGAGCAAATCACACGGTCGAGCGCCCGGGCCCATGGTCACCGAGCTCACCGGGCCCGACCCGCCCGCCGGCCCCGTGGGCCGGACGGCTGCCCAGCCGGAGATGGTTTCCACAGCACGTTGCCAAAAGAGCCCAGGCACACCAGGTCGTCTGGTAGGTCGGGCCCAATCCGTCTGGCAGGTATTCGTTGCTCGGGCGTTGCCAGAAGTGCCCCTCGCCCAAAGTGCCCCCGCAATTCTCTGGGCGGCCCTCACGGCCTCCAGGGCACCCCTCACGAGGCCCAGAGGGCCCCTGGGGCTCAAAAGTGGAGCGAAAAGCCAGGTGCACATTGGGCTAGAGGCACTTCCAGCAACATCCGATCACATCGGTTGAGCATGTTCAGTTTCATTATTGGCCAGTCTCGCGGTTCGTGTATGGCTGAATGGTGCGCCATGCGGCATTCGAGGATGCTAGCAACCACCGGCCGGTTGAGTGCCCAAGCGGCCCGCTGACGCGAAACAAATTGGTTGTGCGGCGTGCGTTCGGATATTTGGGATCAGGTGTTGCGCGTTGCAGCGCCTGGTTTGTCGGAGCAGGTGCTGCACGCGCTAGCGCGTGGATCGCCAGATTTGCCGTGAGGGGCGGCAGGGGGCGGTGTTGTTGTCGGCGGCCTGGATCCAAGTGGTGGGCACAAGGCATCATTCACCAGTTCTCGGAGCTCGGGCTGTGCAGCGGGGGAGGCTTGCAACGTCTCCAACTGAGCGCGAATACCCAGCGAACGCGAATATCCAGCGAATGCCTCCCTTGGTCATCCTCCATCCGATCTTTTTCGTCTCTCCCTCTTGCTCATTTTGTCTCTCCTCATTTGCTACGCTCCTTCGCCCTCCTCCCTCCATGCTCTTTCCACTCCTTCGCTGCTCCACCCTACGGCCCTTCAGAAACCCCAGGTGAAATCCGCTGAGCACATCTATGCACTTTGGAAACATGTCCCTGCGTACTTTCTCTAGGCCCCAGAGCCTCCTGACCCTCCTGCATCCCTCCTTCGTCCACTCAGGCTTCCTCCTCCTTTCAGGGGCGCCAGGGTCCGCAGACGCCCCCACCCACCTACCCCACCCGGCACGAGGAGCAGGTCCTCAAGGAGAGGGCCAGGGAGAGCAGACGACAGCTGGCATTCCTGCACGCGGGCCTCCAGCAGCGCGAGGAGCTCCTCCTCCATCGCTTCCCTTTCCTCATCCACCTAGCATTCCTCCTTGCGTCTCTTCCTCATACCTATGAGACAAGCCTTCGGGTGACAAAGAGGCGGGGGCGGATGCGAGCAGCTTTCGGTTTGCGCTTGACGTCGGATTGTATTTGCGATCTGTGTCATATTCCCCATGCTGTGTGTGCACTTCGGGTTTTTTGTTTGTGATGTGGAACTGGGCCTGTCTGGCGCTCCGGCGTCTCCGTGGTCGCCGTCGTCGCCCCGTTGCTGCCTCTTCGTCGCCAGTCGTCTGGGCATGCTTGGCGGTCTGGCGGTTCCGTGGTCGTCGTCGCCGCCCCGTCGCCGCCTCGTTCCGGCCGCCGTGTCGCCGCCGTCGCCATCTCGTCGCCGCCCGTCGCCCTTTTTCCGCCCGCTTTCCGTTTCTTCGCATTGCTTCGCACTGTTTTGCACATTGCATTGTGTTGCGTGGCATTGCTTGGCATTGCTTGGCATTGCTTTGCATTGTTCTGCATTGCTTTGTATTGTTGTGCGTCACGTTGCGTTGTTTTGCGTTACTTCGCATTGCCTTACATCAAGTTGCATTGCTTGATTTGCAGTGCGGTGCACCGCGTTACTATGACTCGCATTGCTTTCCGTGCATCACATAGCTTGTTACACCACTGTTCCTTTCTGTGCATCACATGACTTGTTACACCACTATTGCAACAGATAGATTGCGCCACGTATTGCACCACATAGATCGCTCCACATAGATTGTACCATGTAGCTCGCACCACGTGGATTTCAATACAGCGTTCACGCCACTTCTGTTGTTTCACATCTGTTACAACATATATATATATACATATATTCTCCTTTCTAAAAAGAGAACGGGATCCACCACCCTCCCGAGGCCGGACTTCACGGTACACCTTTTCGTATTGCAATTTGCATGAATGATTTTGCCCCATCGTCCAGCCTAGCATGAGCTCGCACCATCCCCGGGGGGCCTGTGTCGATTTCCCCCCGCCATCCTCTGCAAAAAAATTGTTGCGCTTGCTTTCGTTTATCAAGAACCATCTTTTTTCAAGAATCCCTTGAAACAAATGGGACCAGGTGCACACGCGCGCGTCGTCGCGCGCGCATGCCGAAATCTTTCAATAACTTTTTGTTTCGTAAGGAGTTTAAAATCGAGTGTGCAAAAACACAGGGTTTCGCAACACTGAATTTCAAGAGCAGCTTGCGCTCGCGCTCTTGCGATTTTTTCGAAAGCTACAGTTCTTTCAACGTTGCATAGCATACTGCAAAACAGGCTTCGAGCGCGCGCGCATGTCGACATCATTCGGACGCCCTTGCGCACGTGCTGTCGCAAGAATAGGTTGCACAACAATGGGGCGAAGTGCATGCGCGCGCGTCGTCGCGAGCGCATGCCGAAATCAGTCAAAAACCCAAGGCTTCGCAAGGATTTCAAAACCGAGTGTCCCGAAACAGTATAAAACACATGCTTCCGCAACATCGGTTTTCAAAAAATGCCTGCGCTCGCGCTCTTGCGAATTCTTTAGACATCCATGGGTTTCTCAACATACGCATGGAACCATACTAAACAGGCCTCTCGCGCCGCATGCCGAAATCAATTGCACGCCCTTGCGCGCGTGCTGGGAGGGCACGGTCCGTATCAAATAACACCATTCGGGCCGCTCTCGCGCGTCGGCCGCGGACGCATGTTGAACTCCTTCCAAAACCTTCATCACCGACGCGAGGACGCCTTCATCGTCGTCGGCGGTGTGAGGCGGATGACCCCCCTGGGGGAAACGGGGAATTTGAACAGACCCCCACCCCCCCTCCAAATCGACCGGACCGGGCTCCCGGGGGAGGGGTTTGGGGAGGGGGAAGATCTCACACGCCGATGAACCCCAAGGGGTCGGCGGATATACGAAACTTATACGACACATACACGAAACGTATACGAAACATATGCGAAACATGTACGGAACAAACATACACGAACCATATACGAAACGTATACGGAGCACATACTAAACATATACGGAACATAAACGAAACGCTTACGAAACGCATGCGACCCGTATCCGAAGCGTATAGGAAACATATACGAAATGTATACGAAACGTATGCGAAAAGCATACGCAACATATACGAAACGCATACGAAACGTATTCGAAACATATACGACACATCTACGAAACACATACGAAACATATACGCAACGCGTACGGAACATACACGACACATATACGAAACATATACGAAGCATACACGAAATTCTTACGACATATATACGAAACATATACGAAGCATTTACGAAACGCGCACGGCGCGTCCGCGGCACAGAATCCGCACCACATTTCTTACACTCTTTACACCAGATTTATTGGGCACACAGAGGGAGGGCAGCTCTAGTAGTAGTAGTAGTAGTAGTTGTTGTTGTTGTTGTAGTTGTTGTCGTAGTCGTAGTAGTAGTAGTAGTAGTAGTAGTAGTAGTAGTAGTAGTAGTAGTAGTAGTAGTAGTAGTAGTAGTAGTAGTAGTAGTAGTAGTAGTAGTAGTGGGAGTAGGAGTAGGAGTAGGAGTAGTAGTAGTAGTAGTAGTAGTAGGAGGAGGAGGAGGAGTAGTAGTAGTAGTAGTAGCAGTAGTAGTAGTAGTAGTAGTAGTAGTAATCGGTGATGTGTCAGGATGAGTTGGGGGGAAAGAGGGATCGGGAGGAGGAGGAGGAGTCGTCGGCGTCGTCAGCGTCCAGCAACGAAGCTCCCGCTATTGTTCGCCGTGGTGAAAATTGTTAGATGGTTGTTTCGCCCAACCGCTGACACTTCCTGGGCCACCCTGCGCGACAAAAGGCATTTGAAGTTTGTTTGTACAAGAGTCGAAAGGTAGCGCGATACATCTCCAATCGATTCGGCGCGTCGGTTTCGTCGTCCTCGTCGTCGACGTCCTTGTCGCAATCGTCTTTGTCAGCGTCGTCGGCGACGACAGCGACGACGGCGGAGGCCTGAGTGGTGGACGCCGCGGGGGAGTACTTAGTTTCCAAGTAACGTTGGGGCCCCGATCCGTCATGAGCCCGCGCAGAAAATAATGTTTCTCCCATTCTTGGCGGGGCGCATTGACGGTTTAGCGGGATTACAAAACGTGCGAGCGTCCAGAGCATAATGACATTGCCTTTGCGTATCGTTGGCACATGGAGCGCGTGCCGTCGTAGTCGCATTTGTGCAGGAAGCGCAAAGACGCATGCGCACGGACATCGGGCTGACTCGCAGATGGTGTGCCAGTGTTTTGGAAGCGTTGCATCAAGGGTGCCAACTTGCACGTCGCCCAGGCTTGCCCAGTAGGCTGCCCGCCGCCGCTTCTTATGCCCGAGCTGCCCCGTCCAAGAAAGCACTCGCGAGAACCAGGCAGGCCGAGCCAGGAAAATCAAAGAAGAAAAAACTGCATAAGCAGAATCTTCCGGAGCTCCTCGCAGATCTCTCGGATCGGCGCTGGGCCCCCTCCAGCAGCGCTTCCGAGACCTCACCTGGCGCGTTCCGCGCGGGAGGGGGGTCCAGCACCTAGCCAAAAAACCTTCTCGGAGCCCCGAAAGGTAATGTTTAGACTGTTTTTGTTCCTTCCCAGACATGCGACGTCTTGATTTGTTCAAGGCGCGGTCGTCAGAAGTCCCGAACCCTTCCCCGGGACCGGCTTTCCATCCCGAGACGGTTTTTAATGGTCCCGGGGCCTGGTAAGGGCCCACAGAGGCCGAAAACTGCGAAAACCGTCCGTCTTGATTTTGGTTCGACGCGAGCATGTCTGGGTCTGGGTCAGCGTAGGGGAGGGATGAGAAGCTCAGGGGGAGACGCATCGACCCCCGATTGCCCACTCATCGCCGAGAAGGACCCGATGGCCCGCCCCGCCCAGCAACGTGTGGACGCGCTGTCGGGGGCCTCTCGCCGATCTATCGGCGATGCATCGCCGGTTGCAGCTCGATGCCCCCCCCCCTGAGCCAGTCCCCGCCCCCCCCCCCGTCGCTGCCCCCCATCTGGCGAGGGGGGGAGCCATGGCGTTCCGGAAATTCGCGGCCGTCGTCGCCGCGACGGCGTGCCGCTCCGCGTCCGCGTTCTCGACGGCCCCCGGCGGCCGCGCCGCGCTCCGCGGCGCGCCCGCGGCTGGCGGCGCGTCGGCGTGGGAGGAGGGCAGCTTCGATCCGAATCGTCCGCCGTGCCCCCGCCCCCCCCCCCCCTCCCCCCCCTTGAGATCCTTGTTCGAGGTCCGATGGCGCTTCCTCTGGATCTCGGCGGCTTCTCGGGCTGCGCCTCGCCGAGGGGCGTCCGGGGCTGCCCAGATCGTCCCGAACGGCCGCCGGAGGCGCGAGAGGCATGACCCGAAAGCCTTCCCAAATTCCAGCAAGGAGGTTTTTTCGTTCTCGTCGGCCTCTGGGGGCCCTCACCAGGGGCCCGGGGACCGTGAAATACGACTCAGGATGGAAAGCTGGTCCCAGTGAAAGGGCATCGTCGGGACTTCTGGGGACCGCGCATCAAAATATCAGGACATCGCATGTCCTCCCTGGCCCTGGGATCCTGGCGTCGCAGCACAAGCTGCATAAACATGATTTCTCGGAGGTCCGCGCGCTCGGCGCGACAGGGAAGGGGCGCCCAGCGCCGATCCAAGAAGTCCGCGCGGACCTCAGAGAAATTATGTTTATCCAGATTCTTGCCCCCCTGTAACTTCAAAATCTGGGTTGTCCCTGTGTCCCACCTGGCCTTGAGATCCTCGCGTCACAATGTTTGCTGCAACGGGCGAGTTTGCCGTGTCTCGGGCCCTGGGGCGATCTCAGATCGATCGGGCTCGAAGTGCCGCAGACAGATTGGGTCCAAGGCCCCAGTCGTGATTTTTCGAGATGTTGCATTGTTTCGCAACGTCGCATCTCAATTTGGGTCCATCATGGCCAGTGTTCCTGGCTGCGCCCATCCGTGGCGGCGAGAGTCTCAGTAAGCTCCCACATGACAAGCTTGGCGGCAGAATACCCAAAACGGCTTTAACAGGGGTCCGCCATCTGGTGGCAGACGAACTCTGAACAGGCGAGCTGTTCTGGGAAAAGGCGCCCCAAAACGACGACGTCTACGATCCGTATCGTCGATCCTCGAGGAGGGCGCATTCGCTGGGGAGTCCACGCCCACGGGCGTTCGCGCGGCCGCGGCCGCTGCGGCGGCGGTGCTGGCCGCCGCCACGGCGATGCGGGCACGCAGGCCCGTGGTCGGCGGCAACTGGAAGTGCAACCCCGAGAAGGCTCGGCGACGCGCGCAGGGGGGAACGGCGCGAGGTGGGTGGCCTCCTGAGAGGTCAGGCAGGGAGTTCCAAGCAGGCGCTGGGCGGCTTCGCACGTGGGAGGCCATACGAAGCCACCAGGCCAAGAAGGCCCCCCTGCCCTCTGTGGAGCCTTCCTGCCTTCTTAGAAGGGCCACCCACCTCGCGCCGCCCCCCGGTGCACACCGCCAAAAGGCGGCCGACCTCGATGGCCTCATCGCCAACATCCAGGCTCGTGCTCGCTTCCCCCTCCCCCCTGTTGCTTCTTCAGAGGAGGCTAGCGGGGGGATGCAGCAGGCACACCAAATAACAAAGAGACATCAAACATCAGCGAAAAACGCCAAACAAGCTATTGGCCGGCCAGAGGGCGCCCCACGACATATTCTCATCCTCCGATGGAGCCGCGGAGTCCTGGGGCAGCATCTGAAGCTCAGATTCGAGGAAGGCATTTCCTTTAGAAGACTCAGAGCAAGATGTCTGATCGTATCTTGTGCATACTGTATTGGAGGGGTCCCAAAGGGTGCGGTGACCACACCTTGTGTTGAGGCAGCGGGAGTGCGGGGTGGCCGCACGTTTTTGGGACTTGGGTCGTTCTCCAGCGACGTCTCGGGCGACTGGGGCATCCATGGCCCAAAAACGGTGCGATGACGGACCGTGCGGTGAGGTCTTTGCGGATTTCGAGGTGCCTGCATGTTTTGTCACCGCACCGTTTCTGGATCCCCATGGGTAAGGCCCAGCGGGGGAGGAAGCATCCACCGCCGATCGCCCATTCATCGCCAAGAACGTTTCGGTGGATTGCCATCGTGCGCGTACTTATCGCCAGTCTGCCCGTAATGTGTCGCCGATTCCAGGCCGACGCTATCCCCTGAGCAAGTCCTCGCCTCTCTTTCAGGCTCCGCTCGTCTCTCTTCTATCCGTAAGCAACCACAGGTGAACCCTAACCCTGTAGGTCAGATTTATGAGAACTGGCTGGGGTTCAGAATTTGAAGGACGTCGGCAGCTAAGCGAACCCCAGCGGGAGTGACCGATGCCTCAACGTCGATTGGACCCGTAGTGGTGGGATTCGCAAGTTGTCGCAGAATCTTCCCTCCTGCGCCCCCCCCACCCCGCTTCAGGCTTGCGACACTAGCAAGTGCGACGTGTACGTGTGCCCGTCTCCCCTGCACGTCTCGTATTGCGTGGGCAAGTTCACCAATGGCGCGGAGGTCACGCCGCAGAACTGCAACTTCAAGGGCTGTGGCGCCTTCACCGGAGAGATGGCCGTCGAGCAGATGAAGGACATGGGCATCAGCCAGGTGCTCATTGGCCACTCCGAGCGCCGGGGCGAGTTCGGGATCTCGGGGGACACCAACGATCCTTGGGCAGGAGGAGGAGGAGTAGGCAGGCAAACGTTGGGTCCAGGATCGCGGCAAAGGCCATCCTGGCCAGGCCAGGAGTTTCCCGCTGGGCCTAGGCCGAGGACTGGCCTGGTCAGCATCGGTGCATGCCGACACTCTACGCCGACACCGTAAGAAGATGGAAGTCCGAACCCATCTGTTCGCGGGACTCTTCCAGCCAGATCGGTTCGCGGTGGTCCCACGGTGCTCTGAACTCGGGGCAGAATTGCTCGTCGTGGTCTGGTTCGCGATGTGCCTGGAGAAAGGGGCTGGCACCCTCCCAGGATCTTCCCGATGGACGACAACACCACTCTTGCCACGAAGCTGAAGTACATCCTGGACGCTGGTATGAGCTGCGTCTTCTGCATCGGCGAGCCGAAGGATATCCGCGAGAAGGGGCTGGACGCGGTACTGGAGGAGACGTGACTTTCCCCTCCTTTTCTGGAGTTTATCATTCCTCCAGCCTCGTTCTACCTTCTGCTTCTCCTCCCCGCTTCTCAATCCGGCCTCATCCTTCTCCCTCTGGCCTCCTCCTTCTCATGCTCGTAATCTTCTCCTTCCTCCTTTCAGTCCCTCTTCATCCTCTCGCCTCCCTCCTGCTCCTTCCTATCATACATCATTATTCCTCCTCCTCCTCCTCCTGCTCCCTTCTCGTCCTGCGCCATTATTCCTCTTCATGCTCCTCCGCCTCCTCCTCAGGAGATGCACGTGCAGATGACTCAGATCTACGACCTGCTAGACCCAGCCAAGGTGGGCATCGCACTCGGGAGGAGCAGAGGAGAGACAGCAGGAGGGGGAAATAGGGAGACAGTCCAGGACCCAAAGGGCATGCACACTTTTTCTTCCGTCAGCGATGCAGCAGCATCAGCAGCAGCAGCAGGGGGAAACGTGCGAGGGGGGAAGACGTAGATGAGGAAGAGGAGGACGACGACGTTGATGATGATGATGATGATGATGATGATGGTGATGATGATGATGATGATGATGATGATGATGATGATGATGATGCTGATGCTGATGCTGATGCTGATGATGATGATGATGATGATGATGATGATGATGATGATACTGATGATGATGATAATGATGATGAGGAGGAGGATGCTGATGCTGGTGATGATGCTGATGATGCTGATGCTGATGAAGCTGATGATGCTGATGATGAGAGGACTAAGACCAGGAGGAACGGAGGAGAAGGGCGAGGAGGGACTGGACGAGGAGAAGGAAGAGGAAGACGATGGAGCAAACGGCAACGAGAAAGCCGGGCTCCTCTTCAGCCTCCTTAGAGCTTCAAAGCATTCTTCACAGCTCATATTCTTCCCTCCCCCTCCCTCATCCCTTCTCACCGCCTCCGCCCTCCCTTCGGTTACTCCTCGTCCTCCTCCTCCTCCTTTTCCTCCTCCTCTTCCTCCTCCTTCTCCTTCTCCTTCTTCTCCTCGCTCTTTTCCTCCTCGCCCCCCCTCAAAAACTTTATTTCTCAATCATCCTTCTCCTCCACTACTCATACTCCCTCGAAGCCTAAAAGCCCAATCGAACACCTCTGGAAGCCATCCCAAACATCGGCGAACTTCGGGATACATCCGACGATTACCACACACACACACCTCCTGGTCCTTCAGGTCGCCAAACTGCGACTGATCTCAAGCAAGTGCTCCCCCCTCCGCCATCCTCTTCCCTCTCCCACTACACACGCCCTGCCTCCTCCTTCTCCTCCTCGGCGCTCGGTGCTGCCGACGCGGGAATCCTGTCGGACGCCTGCCCCCCAGGGACGGTCGTTCCCGTGGGGGGGGATCAACAGCATGTAACAAAATGCGAGCCAGCGTGGACCCAGCACTGTGTGTTTATAGAAGTTTCCTATGTTGTGTTGTGCAGCTTATGAGGTACCATCGACGTTGTGCAACCTGCGTGGCGCAATATGTTGTGCAATATGTGTTGCGCAATCTTGGTGGAGCGAAATATGTAATGCAGCTTATTCGGTGCAATCTATATGATGCAATATCGGTTGTGATGTTGTGAACCAATGTGGTCCAATCGACGTTGTGTAATCTGTGTGGTGTGACCTATGTTGTGATATCTATGTGGTTGGTGCACTCCTATGTGGCGCAATCGACGCGGTGCAATTTATGTGGTGGAGTCTATGTGGTACAGTGTTTGGTTGTGCGATACATGTGGTGCAATCTATGTTGTTCAATTCAGGCGGCGACGAGCGGCGACGGCGAGCACGGAGCCGCCAGACCGCCACCCAGGCCCAGACGACGGGCGGTGACGAGGCGGCGACGGGGCTGCGACCGCGTGCACGGAGCCGCCAGAAGCCATCCAGGCCCAGCTCCTCAGCACAGAAATAAGAAACCCTATTGCAAGTATTTCTCGTGGAATTGAGAGCAACCGTCGCACGGGGAGCACCCCCTGGGGGCGGGGTAGTTATGCCCCCCAGCGCCCTGGGGGGAGGGGAGGGAATATATAGAGAGAACGACGAAACGGCGGGGACGACCCCGCGACAAACCTTAGGAGGACGGTTGGACAGAGGGGATGGAAGGCGATGGTGGTGGTGGGTTGCGTGTCTCTTGCGGTGCGACTGCGGGCGCGGCCGCACTCTGCAAGGTGGACGGCGCAAGGGCCTCCCCTCTTCCCCCTGGAGGATAAACACCTACGGGGAGGGCCCCGGTCCCACCCACGGCGCCCTGACCCGCCGAGGCAGGCAACGCGTTCCGCCGGGGAGACTGGGGCTTATCCAGGGGTGCCCACCGTGGTAGAGGAGGTTTGCGCCTTCCGTAGCGGCGGCCGCGAGATGTGTGCCGTCCACCCCCACCCCGTGTGAGATGATGCATGATCCCCCCCAGCGGTCGGCGGTGCGGAAAGAGGGCCAGAAGGAGCCTTGATGAGAAAGGTGGCGGCACAGCGAAGATGTAGGTGGAAGTGGTTGCCGAGGTGTGGATCTGAGATGGCTGGGCTGTGAGCTGCGGTCGCCCTGGCCCTAGCCAGGGGCAGCCGGCATCGTGCGTCCCGTCCCCCCACCTGCCGACCTTCCCCGCTTGTTGCAACTGCTTTGTGGCGTGGCGGGTAGCGCAGACGAGAGAGGGTTACAAGGTAAAACGAGAGATCATGTGGTAGCGAACCACTGCTTTGTGGGGTCCGCCATCCTGGTCATTCCCAGGGAGATCCCAGCGGTGGAAGCGTGGGCAGGCTGGCTGGCGGTGGAGGGAAGCGGCAAACAGAGGTGAATTAGAGAGGTGCGTAGGTTACACGGGTCCTGCTGCTGGCCACGGCCGTCCAGACCAATGCCAGGGCGGCCGGCGGCTGAGTGGCCTGGTCAGCTGGGTTGCTCGGCGGTGTTGCTGACCGCGGCCGCCCTGGCCAACGCCAGGGCGGCCGACGGCGGTTTCTTCCCTTCCCCCATGTGTATACACCACCTATCCCGCCCCACAAGAGCGGAGGAGGTGAAGGTTACTGCTTAGTGCGGTCGGGGGTGGGCGAACACGCACAAGGAGTGGGCAGCCTGGAAGAAGAGGGATGTTGGGCGAGAGTTCTCAGTGGCCAGACTTACTGTTGGTCTTTCGTGCCACTTGCCTCCGAGGCAAGCCAAGCCAGCGGGCATGGCGCGAGCCAGGCATCGGGCCCTGAGAGACAAAAGCCTGGCCCTCGCCAGCCTGTCCCTCACCCAGTGTGCCAGAGGTATGGCGTCACCACGGTGAGGTCCGCTCGTCCTCCTTGATAAGGCTTCGGGTTGCGCACAGGCAGCCCCCCCAGATTGTCCCGGCCGGCCTCAACAGGACTCCCCGAGTAGTCTGGGCGGTCTAAACACCCCAGCCCTTGGGCGCGGGGCGCACCAGGGGCGTTGCCTGAGGTGCTGCAAGGGTGTTTAGACCGCCGCAGACTACTCGGGGAGGCTGTTGAGGCCAGCCCGCTTGTTCTGGGGAGGCTGTCTGTGCGCAACCCGCAGCCTTATCGATCCTCCTCCTCATCATCGTCCTCCTCTCCATCTCTCTCTTGGCATCTCCCGATCATCCTGCTGGATACGAGCCGAGGTGGTGATCGCCTACGAGCCCGTGTGGGCCATTGGCACCGGGCTCACCGCCACGCCAGAAGACGCCCAGGCGGTGTACGTGAGGGTTTTGGCCAAGGAGGAGGGGGAGGAGGGTTTACAATCAGCGGAGGGCGAGTTGACACAACGCTAGTTGGCCTTCAGGGGGGCCCGTCGTCGTCACGGCTGGACGCAGCTCAGAAAACCCGTGCGTTTGGAGCCCGGGATGGGTCCAGGACCGATTTTGAATTGCCGTTGTCTCAACTCGCCTTGCTCCGATACAATGGTTTCGGCGTAGTTCGAGAGCTGCCCGTAGTAGATTGGACGCTCTGCAGCTTTTCTGAGAGAGGTGGAGGAGAGGAGGAGGAGGAGGAGGAGGAGGAGGAGGAGGAGGTCAGGATAAGGAAGGGGGAAAGAGACAGAGAGAGACAGACAGAGTAGAGAGGGGGGGAGGAGGACGAGGAGGAGGAAAAGGGAGAGGAGGAGGGGTTTCAGGAGTTCTGAAGTGTCCAGGGAGGTGACAAGAGAGAGAGAGAGTGACAGATAATGAAAGGCATTGATGGGAGCACATACATAAATAGGGAGGGCGAACATACACCAACACATATCAATCACTAGTTAGGTCACATACATACATACATACATACATGCATACATACATACATACATATATACATACATGCATACATACATACATGCCTACATTCATAATACCTATAGGCACACACATGCATACATACACTCACACATACGTCAATACATACTTATGCACGGACATGCGTTCACACATTTCATACGCACATCCAGACAGACCGACAGACAGGCAGACAGGCATACACATACATCTAGACATACATACGTACATGCACGCCCACATCCGTAGCCATTTTGGCTCAAGTTCGGAGTGGTTGCTCAGGCCTTGTTCGTGGGAGTCGCAGCCCACTCCGACTTTACCTTCAGCGCCCCCACGGGCGTCAGGGAACCTGGTTTATTACACACCTAGACACTGCCACAGGTCTATTGAGATTTCATCCCGCATCCCTTTGCGTGCAGGAGCCCGCTCTTGACATTCCTTTCGAGGGGCATGCCCGATGGAGCCGATTCGCTTCCGCAGCGCACTCAGGGGTCAAGCGGGCAAGGCCGTCGGCAGCTTGAAGGGCCAGCCGAAGCACCAGATGAGAAACTCTTTCGTGTCGCTGGTCATTCTCGCGGTGACGCTGACATGGATCCTCGGTGCGCGCGCAGCTGACAGCCGATTTTGGGCCGACCCTTCGAGGGGCACGAGTGGCAAAGGATCTGGGCCGGGCCTATCGCGCCACCAGCCTGCTGCTGCAACCGCTGCACCTGCTGAGCCCGTTGCCGCGCCAGCCAACCCTCGAGCAGCTGCCGCGCCTGCCACACCTCGTGCAGCTGCCCATTCTGCGCAACCTGATTCTCGTTCTCCTGTTCTTCATGGCGATCTGGAGGCCATCTTGTCTGCGATGCGGGACGAGATTGTCAGCAACATCGCGACAGCCAACGCAGCGCTCCCACAGTCCATCACCACCTCTATGACTGGTGCGCTGCGAGCCATGGCCCAAGCTCAGGAAGCCCGCAATGAACAAGTTGAACCACATCTTCAGGAGCTCGACCAGGGTCTTGCCCGCGTCCAGCAAGATCACAAGCCATGCGGGACCATATCGAGGTCTTGCAGCAAACCCTCGCCGTCTGCGAGGGGGCTCCGCCTGTGCAGAATCTCGAGAACGTCTCCAATTGGACCAGGGCGGTGGACAATGCTATCTTCGTGGTCTCGTGCAAGGAGGCTTGCTCGTCGGACGCCATCGTGGAGTCTGTCAGCGAGTGGCTCGAGGCGTCGGGCCTGGATGACCATAAGTGGACCGTCGAGGGTGACAGTCCAGGCCGTCGCCACCTCATCCGCATGTCTGGAGCTCCGGGGCTGGCCACCAAGCGGGTCGCCGAGGCGCTCCGCAACCTCAAGCAGGACGGCCAGTGGCGCCGCTTCCGCGCTCAGGCCGTCGATTCCAATGTCGTCGACATCTTCGTGGGCCTCTACAGGTCGCCGCAGACCATCGGGAGGGATATCCAGACCAGAACTCCTCGAGATGGTCAAGGACTCAGGTGCTGCAGGCCGGTGGCGAGCCAACCGGTACGCAGGCGTCACCAGCAATGGCATCGCACCCACGATCAAAGTTGTGGTTGTCGAGACCCCGGAGGAACCGACTACCCTTGTTTGGAATTACGGTGTTGTTACTGATGCTGGGCTCTTTCGACGACTTCCAGAGACTACGGGGACGCGCAAAAACACCGCACAAGATGCTCGGGCAAGTCCCGGGAATTTGCTTGGGCATCGGGCGCCGCGTTTTTCGGGTTCGGATCTTCACGAGAACGACACCAGACTATTGCTATTTGGGTCTATTGCCACGGCGGCTTGGAGAAATGACACATTCGTGGCTGGCGAATTATGTGCCGCATCCGATTTTGCTCTGCAGCGTTTGCTGGTTACTGCCACTGCCGCCCATCTTCTCGATGCTCGCCGATTCGAAGAACAGTTCTCTGCTGAACATGCCAACTACAATGAGCGCCGCCAAGCTACCGCGGCTCTTCGGTCCCAGGAAGCTCCTCCAAACGAGAAGTCTGACCGCCACACAAACGCCATGCGCCGTGCTCTTCGTCGTCGCGCCTCGCTCTGGGCCCCCATGGGCAGAACGCTGACCTTCGCGGCGCCGGTCTTCCTGACACTGCCGGCGGCCAGCCGCAAGTGGTCACCAACTCGAAGGATGCCCTCCAGGAGCTAAAGCGGCACTGGGCCCTTGTTTTTCAATCCCAGCGTGCGCCGTGCGAGTTCATCGACTGATATCTTGACGAGCATCCTGTCCCTCTTCCAAGACTGGCTGATGCGCTGCTGCCTGATGGCCGGGACCTGCAACGGGCTGGCGCGCACGCCGGGCCCTCTGCCCCAGGACGGGACGGGCTACTGTATGAAGCTTGGCTGGCCTGCCCCAAAGCGCTCGACGACTTGGCCATGGTCGGACATGAAATTGCCGTGGGAATTCCACCGCCTCTGGATCTCAACGACCACCTGAGGGCGTTCATCCCCATTGGTACTGAGACTGCCGACTATGCAGAAGGAAGGGCCCACGCGGGCTGCTGCGGCTATACTCGCCCCCTGGCCTTCAAGAACACAGATGCCGAGCTCCTGATCTCCAGCGTCAATGACAGGATCAAGGGCGTCCTCGCGCTGGAGTTGCCGAAGTCACAGCGCGGCTTCTTGTCTGGGCGTTGCTTCCTGGACAACATCACCCTGATGCGCGCGATGGCCAGGATCGCGGGCTTCCAGGAACGCCGTGAAAAAAAACGCATTGCCTGGTCATGGTGCTGTTCGATTTCGGCAACGCGTTCCCGTCGTTGTCCGTCCACTTCATGCTGGAGGTCCTGCGACGTTATGGCTTCGAGGGGGTGGCTATTCCCGCTCATCGCGGCCATGTGCTGGAAGCCGCAGGCCTTAGTTGCCATCGAAGGTGCCGTCCACCATTTTCTCTTCATCTACTCGGGCATCGCGCAAGGCTGGCTGCCCGCTCTCGGGGTCGCTGTGGGCTGCCGCCATGAACCCTTTCGTCGCGCACATGGAGCAGCTCCTCGCTCCGCGCAGTAAGTCCGCGCTGGGGGGTCTACGCCGATGACGTCGGCACGGTGCTTCAGGACAGGCGCCTTCCGCAGCGCATCCGGCGAGTCTTTCGAGCTGTTGAAGCGTTGGCTGGCCTCACCCTGAATCTGGCCAAATGCAAGATCACCCCGCTCTGGGCGCCCTGCACGCCGGGGGCGTCGGACGAACTGCGAGCCTGGTTGCTTCGCGAGCTTCCTGGCCGGGGCGCCATGGATATAGTTCCCTGCGCCGAATACTCCGCAATCATGCTTGGACCTGCAGTGCACTGCCGCATCCAATGGCAGAAGCTAGGCGCGAAGTACATTCGTCGAGTTCGCGAGTTGGCCGACGCACGCGCGCCTGCGCGCCTCACGACCGCGCTGTACAACAGCCGCGTCGTCACAGTCCTTTCGTACATCATGCAAGTGGCCCCGCTGCCTCGATGCCTTCTTCGTCGCGGGCGCTGGGCAATCCATAAAATATTGCACATGCCACCGCAGTCTGTGAGCTTGGCAGCAGCCCTTGGATTGGCAAAGTGGTCTTTACTGAAACCGACTAGCCTGCGTATTCTCAGCATGGCCTCACGGATGTGGGCTGCGCGTGCAACAAATTCTAATTGGCCCAGCCTGGCTGAGTAATCTCGCGCGGCAGCTGTCGAAGGCGGAACATTGTTGGAGAATGCGGAGCCCTACCTGCCGCCGCCCCATTGGCACTCGATGCCAAGTGTGCTCAATCTGAGTGAAACGGTCAACGCCTTCCACGCACTCCAGTCGCTGGTTTTGCAGCGGCGGCACACGCAACGCTCGAGAAACAGCGAGCCAGCTGCGGGGGCGCGAGGGTGCGAGCGCAAAGTTCCCCACCTCTTCTCTCCGAGCCTCCCTCTTCCTTGATGTCCTCGCCCCGATCCTCACATCCCGCATCCTGATGCTTTTTTGGAGCCTCTGCGGGACCTCATCAGAAAGGGGATCCCGCCAGCATGGCAATCGGCCGTGATCAAAACGCTCACAGGGGCCTGGTTTACTTCATTCCGTCTGCACAGCAGTGTCCAGCGTAAGTGCCGTTTCCAGTGCGTGTGCAGTTGTAACGATGACATGCAGCATTATGTCAGATTCCCGACACTTTGGCAGCTAGCGTATGCCCCTGACACCACCGCACAATCTCGCGGAGAGGTTGGCGGGCACTGGGCTTCCGCCCCTGAAGGCGTAGAGCACATAGTCAGGGCTTTTCACATGTACAACGTCATTCGTACAGCCGCTGAGCTCGGCCCTTCCGCGTCCGCGGAGGAGCTAGCCAGCCATCGCTATACAGATCGCCGGGCCGCTTTGGCTCTGGTTGGCCGATCTCGTGCGCCCTTCTAGGCCCTGTTGGACCCTTGGGTGCCCCTCTGAGTACGAGCGATACATGCACTCCTACATGCATACATACATGCATGCATGCATACATACATTCACACATACGTACGTACATACATACAGACATGTGCACCCACATTTATACATACACACAGCCATACATACAGGCATGCAGACATGCTTACATACTTTGCATACACATATATACACATACGCACATGCGCACATACAGTCTGACGTACAACCATACGACCATATGTACATACATACATACATACATGCATACATACATACATACATACATACATACATACATACATACATACACACACACATACATACGTACATACATACATACATACATACATCAATGCATCCATACAGGCATGCATATATTCACAGACATAGATAAGCACCTTCGTACACACTCATGTGTATACACATATACATGGGTTGCGGAGGAGGTGAAGGAGGGAGGCAGGACGAGGAGGAGGAAGAGGAGGGAGAGGGGGACGAGAGAGAGAGAGGGATACACACGTGTAAACATACATATACAACAAGAGGGAGATAGAGAGATGGGGGAGAGGGTGGAGCGAGAGCGATGGGATACGAGAGAGAGAGGGAGCGCGACGGGGGAAGGAGGACGAGGACGAGGAGATGTGAGAAGGGAGGCGGATCGAGGAACGCGGATGAATAAAGTTGAGGATGTCAACATGTTTAGGATTAGGGCGTACAAATCAAGTTGCATGCGTATCAGCGTGAAGCGTCCGAGTACGAACACACGCCTGACACGATGTTGGGTGACATGCGACACATATGAGCACATTGGCCCTTGTTGTTGTTCACCATGTTTCTGCCCACGCATAGTTGCAATAACTCTCCCTCACGTTATACCATAATTTCCCAACGTGGATCCCAAGCCTGTCGAATGTGTACGGCGCAAGATATGCGCATCTCCTGATGCATCGGGTCCATAACTGTGGGGCGTGCGATGCGATGCAAGCTACGCGCTTCTACCTGTACGCGTATATATACACCGTAAATGCACATATGTATATGCATTTACATATACATATGTGTATACACACGCATCGGTATGTATGTATGTATGCAAGCCTGCACAATTGTATGAGTGTACATGAGTGTACACATATACGTGCCGCGCAAGCTCTGTGATGCAATGTGCGCTGTGCACCCAATGTTGTGAATGCTCTGTTGCAGAGTATGACGTGCAATCGGCGTGCAATCTACAGGGTACAAGTCACCCTGCCGAACTTGAAGTTGTCAACTCGACTGCTCGCGCAATCATCCCACCCACCCACCCACAACTTGGTTTGCAAAGCCCATGCGGCCGCGATTGCGATGACTGCTCGGCGCTGGCTGGCGCATCGCTGCGGCCGCGCTAGCGCGCAGGCTCGCGCGCACAGCGGCCAGCTAGTCTGACGCGACCGACGCGGCCGCCGAGGCGCTGCACGTGAGGCTCGAGACAACCCCCTGGACAGAGGGCCAGCCTCCACTCCCGCACCTGCTCCACCATTCTGGTCATGATTCGTGCATGCCGGAAGCCTTGGGATGTCGTTTAATCTCTCCTCGTCCTCCTCAGAAGCCCTCGCGCCTCCTGAAAAGCCGTCTGTGTCTTCTGAGAAGGCTTAGGGAACTTCCTTCTTTGCCCTTAGAGAAGCCCCGCCTCTTCTCCCTTCCCGCCTGGGTTCACTGCCAATTCTTCGCTTCTTCCTCCTCCTCCTCCTCCTCCTTGTGCCCCTCCTCCTCTTCTTCCTCCTCCTCCTCCTTTTCCAAGGGCATGTTTGCTTCTCCTCCTGCTCCTCCTCCTCCTCCTCCTCCAAGGGCACGTTTGCTTCTCCTCCTGCTCCTCCTCCTCCTCCTGCTCCTCCTCCTCCTCCTCCTCCCCTCGCGCAGTACAGGCGACCCACAAGGGCATCCGCGACCTGATCGCCAAGCACGCCTCGGCCTCCGTCGCGGACGCGATCCGGATCCAGTACGGCGGCTCCGCCAACGCCGCCAACGCGCCCGACCTCTCGGCGCAGCCCGGGTGTCGTCGCTATCGCCGTCGTCGTCGTCGTCCTCCTCTGTCTCCTCGTCATCTTCCTCCTCCTCCTCCTCCTCCTCCTCGTCGTCACCATCGTCCTCCTTGTTCTTCTCCTCCTCATACTCCGCCTTCCTCCTCTCGCTCCAACTCCTGATGCTCCTCCTCGTCCGTGCCCCATTCCTCCTCCGCCTTCCCCCCTCTTCCCTCCCTGGTCCTAATTTTTCCCCTTCCTCCATTTCCCCTCCTCGTCGTCCTCTTCCTCCTCGCTGGACGTCTGGACTCGTTTTCTGTGATCCTGTATCCCTCCTCCCACATAAGCACCGTCGCCGTCGTCATCCTCGTGTTCCCTCCTCCTCCTCTCACTCACTCACTCCCTCCCTTCCCTGCTCATCGAGTGACCTTCTGCCCAACCCGCCACCGTGCCTGGGTTATGGACTAGCGGCCTCGTGGATGTTTGGTGAGGTCAACTGGGAGGCCTCTCGGAGGTCTGTTTGGAGCCTCTTGGGGGCCTTTGAGGGACCTCCTGGCTGTCTTCGAGGCCATCTTGGGCTGGAGGGCTCGACATGTCATTCGTGTTCCCCCTCTTGAGGGTTCGGAAGCCGTCGTGGGGCGATGCCGAGGTTTCGCCCAGTGCCCGCCCTCTTCGAGAAACCCCTTGAAAGGCAAGGCTCGATGATGTGAATGAGGATGTTCAGTGATTCCTCTCGCCTCGCGGGACGCACGTCCGGAGCACGTGCAGTCCAGACGTTGTGGGGCCTGGTGGAATCCTTTTTGGGGCCTCTTGGAGGCCTCTTGTGGGCTTCTTGGGGTCTCATGGGGGCTTCTTTGGGGCCTCTTGGGGCCTCTTGGGGGCGTCTTGGGCCGTCTTGCGGCGCTCTTGCGCCGTTTGGCTCCTTCGGAAGCCATCCTGTGGTCCTCTCGCGGCCGCCTTAGGGTTCTCTTGGGGTCCTCTTGGGCCGTCTTGGGGGCCTTTTGGACCGTCCTGGGGGTCTCTTTGGACCGTCTTGGGGCCCCCTTGGGCTGACTGTGGGTCCTCTTCTGGGCTGCTTGGGCCGTCGTGGGGCGATTTCGGAGGCTGCTTGGGCCGCCATGGGCCTCTGAGAGTCGAGAAGGGCGAGAACGTTCAAATCCTCCAAAACCCAATGGAAACAATGATGTTGGCCTCTGGAGGCGCTCTTGGGGGTCCTCTTGGGGCCCTCTTGGGGCGTCTTGGGGTCTTTGTCGGCCCTCTTGGGGCCGTCCTGGACCGTCTTGGGGGCGTCTTCGCCCGTCTTGAGGCAATCTAGAGCCGTCATGAGGCTTTCTTGGGTACCCCAAGAAGGCGAACAGGCCGAAAGCATAGATTTTCTGCAGGTTTTGATAAGTTGTTGGGCCCCGGGAGGGGGGGGGTCAGGTTGGGTCGACGGATGTGGCGCGGCGCTACTCGGGAGGGTTAGGGGGGACACATAATATTGTAACAATGCGCTATGCACCAATTATGTAAGAACGGGATACGTTGCAATTGTGCAATCATTGGACACATGGGATACGTTGCATGATCGCTTCCGCAGAAAACGCTGCCGCTAAGCACGTCACTTCTGGACGTGGATTCCTCTCGCTTCGCGGGGTGCACTTCCGGAGCACGTACAGTCCAGTCGTTGTCGGGCCTTTGGGAATTTCTTGGGGGTCCCTTGGAGGCCTCTTTGGGGCCTTTTGGGTCGTCGCGGGGGCGTCTGGGAGACCTCTTGGGGGCCTCTGGGAGGCCTCTTGGGGCCTCTCGGAGCCCCGTGTAGGCGTCTTGGGGTTGCTCTTGCGATGTCTAGCCCCTTCGGAGACTTTCTTGGGGTACTCTTGGGCCGTCTTGTGGGGCATCTCGCCTGCTTCTTTGGGCTGTCTGGGAGCTCTCTCGGGCCGTTTGGTGGCCCTCTTGAGTGCTTCTTGGGCCGTCTTGGGGCCACTTCGGAGGCTGCTTCGGCCGTCCTGGACCTCTGAGAGTCGAAATAGGCGGGAACGCTGAAATCTGCAAACAACCATTGGAAAATCAATGGTTTTCGGCTTCTGGAGGTGCTCTTGGGGGTCCTCTGGGGGCCCTCTTGGGGCGTCTTGGGGTCTTTGTGGGCCCTCTTGGGGCCATCTTGGCCCGTCTTGAGGCCGTCTTGGGCCGTCTTGGGGCCATCTTGAGCCGTCCTGACGCCCTCGTGTCCCCCCAAGAGGCCCAAGAAGCCGAAAACATAGATTTTACATAGGTTGTGGTAGGTTTTGGGGCCCCAAAAGGAGGTCGCCAGGTTGGGTCGATGGATGTGGCGTAGCCCCTGGGGGGGGTTAGGGGAGGAGACGTATTCGCGCAACACAAGACAATATGTAGCAATTATACAAGTATGGGATACAATGGATACGATGCATTACAGCATATGCGGAAAAACGCTGCCGCTCAGCACGTCACTTCCGGACGTGGAGTCCTCTCACTTCGCGGGGTCAGGAGTACGTACAGTCAAGTCGTTCTGGGTTTTCTCAGGAGTTTCGTGGGGGCGTCTTGGGCCGTCTTGGGGGCTCTTACGCCTCTTGGCACCTTTGGGGGCGGGGCTGGTGGCCATGTCGGGGCCTATTGGGTTGTTTGGGGGACCTGTGTAGGCAATATTTCGGCCTCTTTGGGATGTTTGTAGGGCTGTCTTTCGGGGCCGTCGAGGGGCCACGTTCGAGGCTGCTTTGGCCGTCATGGCCTTCGAGAGGTAAAACAATGCGAGAGCGCCAAAGCTTCTCGTCATTCTCCTGTTCTCCTCCCCCTTTCCTGCTTCCTCAACCTCCTTCCCTCTCCTTCTTCCTTTTCAGTATGCTTCTTCCTCTTCGTCCTTTTCCTCCTGCCTCCTCCGCTTCCTCCTTCTCCAGCCTGCTCCTGGTTGCTTCTCCTTATCCTGCATGATTATATTTCTCGTCGTGATTCATTTTTCCTCCTGTGCCTTCCCTCCCCTTTCCTCGTCCTTCTCCTGTTTCTTTCTCCTGCCTCCCTCCCCTCTCTTCCTCACTTTCTCAGTCATCGTCTTCCTCCTCCCATCTCTTGCAAACCGTTGCTGATGTCGACACACCCATATTTGTCTTTTCCTGCTCTCTCCACTTTAGTGTCTCCAGTGCCTGTCGCTGCATCGTCACAGCTACAGCTGCTATTGTCATTAGCTGCTGCGCCTGCTGCGGCAAGATATCTATATGCCTAGTCGCTGTAGCTGCCATCATTGTGGCTGTCTGTCCCATAGCCATTTGATTGGTAAGGTGTCTAGTGAGAGCGTAAACTGGAAGGAGGTCTCAACCCCTTCTGCACCTGCCAGCTCACTGAATGCTTCGTTCAGCCATGCCGTTGGGTATGTAAAAAAACATGCATTTCAGAACACACGGCGAACATCATCCTGCCCGGTTATTACCATCATCGTGGGATAATCGTATAAATCTGTTTCTGCCAAATACATATTGCTTCTTCCTCTACTTCCTGATCTTCTACAGCCAGCAACGGATTGCACACGCATTCGATGCAGCGCGATACTTCGGTGCGACCCGAAACATGACACAGCACAAGTACCCGGCAAACTTACAGAGAGTGCAGTCATCCATCACATGTGCCAGTACGTGGGCATGGACACGGCACGCACGCACTTTTTATCTTGCCAGCGTATCTCACAAAGTTTCTCTGCATGGGCTCTCCGTGTTTTCAAACAAGAAGACGCATATGAACGAGCAGTCAACCTACGATGCTTCATGTCCAAATGGCTTCTTGCAGACCATCTCCAACAAGGCCGAAGTAGTCTCCCAGTTTGGACGCTGTTCACACACATGGGCATGCTCTTGGGAATCCGGTTATGTGCACGACACCACCACAAACGACATTTCCTCCGTGTGCTGTTGCGTGGTATGCGTCCGGCCATTCAGAAGTGCATCTTGTATCACGGTTTTTTGGGTCCGGATTGGCACCAGTATTTGGACGACATCTCGCACTGCCTCTGGAACCCTGGGACCACGGACCTCAGCAGCACCTACACAGACTTGTCGTCTCAGAGTCCCACCTGGCACGTTGGAAAAACCCGCCTGTCGCGCCATCACTGTCATAAACTGTGGAGTGGACCAGCCGCACGGTTCCGAGAGCATTGCATTAGCTCGTACAAACACGACCATTCAATCAATTTACGACCCCGGTACACTCAATGGAAGTCAGCAAGCCCATGGTCACTTTACATGGTCATCACATCAGTTGGGAACCATACGGACATTGGGAAATACGAGTTGTTGCAAATCCAGATCTTGCGACCCCCGACACAACTCCGAGCTTCAGAACCAAAATGGCAACGTGAGGCAACCCCCAGAGGTTTCCCCAAGCAACGAGCAAAGCCCAGCCACGAGAGAGAGTTGGAACTCAACCTCATCAAGCAACTGCAATCGTCATCTTCAATGCGGAAACGGCTTCGCCTACAACTGTTTGATTTCTCGGACCTCTGCACGTGGTGTTCGGACAAGCTCGGATGGAGTACGCGACATGTTGTACGAGCCGTGCACCATAGAGGAAACGAGTACTGGCATGCATTGTATCTGGCCCAACGAAATACACGAATGTGGTACTTCCAAACATGGAGACACAGCTATCTTATTCAATATGTTCTGTTGGTTTGGTTTATGTGTAAACGGCTACCCAAAGATGGGTGCATTCGCGCCCGCCTTAAGATCGAGCGTTTCCTCAATACTGGAGGCCTCCTGCCCACAAGCTGTTTTTGGTTCAAAATTGCAGCCAATGACGCGTCCACCGTGCAGCGAGCCAAAAAGGTCATCAGGAGCTACTACGACCACATCGGTGGTCGATCCGGCGACCTTGTTTCTGCTTTCCTGTGGTGCAAAACGAGAATATTTCAAACAAGAGGGCCGAAAGTCTCGGACATCCTGGACGACCACCAAGTATGCTCGAAGGGCTTCTCCAATGACCTGTACCATTTCCTCGAAAATAGGCGTTCGGTATGCTACGACATACGGTGGTGCAAACATCACTGGACAGTCAATGCCCCAGATGATACCACAGCAGTCTGGGAGGCCCTCTCCGCGCAGATCCACATGAATTTCCGAAAATACCACATCCAGCACATGTACTTCCCGTGGCGAACGCTGCAGAAGAAATGGTGGAATTCCTATGCCCCCGAGTACACACAGGACAGCCCCGCTCTGTTGCACTTGGCACAATGGCTGCGCACAACGAACGAAACGCTGGCATGGGTGCCGCTGGACAAAGATGGACACCGTCGTGTGGGTATCAACTGGAAGGACTACATTCAACGATTGGGGGAATGCTTCCATAACGATCCCGAACACTACCAGGCCTACGAGCATTTCAATCGAAAGCACGTCGCACGCATGCACGACAAATTGGTATCAAGATATGTGCCGCAACGGTGGCGTGTTCCTGGAAAAACAGACCCAAACACATTGGCACAAGCGTACATTACAATCAAAGGGACATGTATTGATCGGCATACCGGAGCCCTCACGTGCCAAAGACCGCACGCCCACCATAGAGAAATTGTTTCTGCACATTTGGTCATGCAAAAACCATTTCTACGTCTGGCAGCGCGTGCCTTGCGCATCGCCAAACAATGCGCCAAGGATCCGTGTTGGACGATATGGAAGCCGCTCGAGCTTAACAAAGTCTTCCAACAACGCCTGGGACAACTTCGTTTCGACCCTGCCTGCAAATACCAATGCAAATGTGGACGTGCGAAAGATCCGATCAGCTTCATCAAGTGCGACGCTGCCCAGTTCTTCAAAGATGCAGACAGCTCGCGGGGGGTCATGCGAACCGACTTGCTCCTCAAACGAATCCAGGACAGAACAGGCATGTCAGCAGTCGCCGTGGCCACGGGGAAAAAAGCCAATGGCCGACTATGCAAAGTTGGACAACAAAAAAGAAATGGATACCACATCATGCCTTTCAAACACATCCGAAAAGCAGTACGTTTTACTAAGGCTGATGCGTTCTTCTTCGTGGGGGATGCTTGTTTCAAGCGCGTCTGAGGCTGGGCAGTGGGGGCATCAATGTCTGAACCTGTCACGCTCGCAGACCTTGGTGAGGACATACACGCACTGTACACAGACAAGATGTTCGCACAGCGCACGGGCTTCATGCACAAAGATTGGCACACATCATCTGTGGTACAAGGTATTGTGTACGTCGACGACAGCATGGTGTTCTCAGATGTGTTCTGCACGCGTTGCTTGTACGAACACATGTGTCGTGTATGGCCACGTGACGTTGGAGTATCACTGGGGGAAGGCTTGCCACTCAAATTCCTACAAGGGGAGGTTTTTATGCAGAACGGCCGATACCTCATCCGGCCGTGGTATCAAAATCACGGGTTCTCAACGGGGGAGGAGGCAGAGCCGACAATATCGAAATTTCCGTCTTACTCTTCTGCATGCAGCATGCTCCACTACTGGAACCTGCGCGTTACGATGTTGGGAAAGATTCTGTCCGCCAGTGCCATTGCGAGTGGGGATTTTTTACTTGCTCAGGACTTCGCAGCAGATATGGTTTGCGAGGTTCTCAAATTGGGTTGGCCAGTGCATTGGGTTTGCAACGTACACCGATCGATACCGAGGCGACATCGAAGTGAGTTTCTCTCAGTTTGCCGATGCGCAGGAAGGAGTATCAGCACAGTCGTCAAAGGTGTATCTGCTGCCAGCCACACAGTGCACGATGAACATGCTCATCCACCTCCTCCTTACCTCACCCACGCCTTCATTGTCAATATCTTCTCTTCCATTTTCCAGGCCACCAAAACGAGTGCATAGCCAGAGCCACTTGGTCATATCATTCGCTCTCCTTCACGTCTTCCGTGCATCTCCGTATTCATTAATTTTTAGCATGTTTGGTCGCTTTGGCGGCCGGGGCAAATGCGCTGGGAAGCAGAATAAGGGCAACTACTACCACCATGACCGTGGGTACAGCGGCTCCGACAGGATGAACCAGTATCTTGTGTCGGAGCTGGAGTCGGAAAGAGCGGCAAACGCAAGTTACCGGGAGCGAGAGGAGGCGGCGACAGCAGAAGAGCAGCAGGCGAGTGTTATTGCGGGAGTGGCAAAAAAGACCACCAGAGCCATGGCGCGGATGATGGGCTTCCGCAGCAGCAGCAGCAAGGGGCGTGGGAAGAAGGAGAAAGAGGCCAAGTCAAAGAGTTTCGGCTTCACGAAGGCCGGCATGCGGGCCCTGAGGAAAATGGACAGCTCGACATCCGAGGGACCCGCTCCGTCTAGCCTTGCATCATCAACGGACAAGTCGGAGTCGTACAGCATGCGCTTCATGTCCAAGATCGCGAGGTCTATGCAATCGAAGTGGAAAAAGCAGAAGCAGGAGGAGCAGAAGGTGAAGGCAGCAAAGCGCCTCCTGAAGAAGCATGGCGTGCCGATCGACGACAACCCAAGCCCGGCTCCCAAGCCGAACAATGCGACACTGAGGAAAAAACTAAAGCTGCCCGAGGACGAGGACACCGTCAAGCAGGCGGTCTACCAGGAGGTGCTCGACGCCCTCAGCCCGGAGTCGGACATGACTGATTGGCCGAAGACCGACCCGGAGTGGGCAGCAGCATTGGCGAGTGAGCCCAAAGTGACGCTCCCAAAGATCCAGAAGCTCCTGATAGCAAACGGTTTAAGCACAAGCGCAAAGAGCAACAAACCGGACAAGATCTGCCAGATCCTGGAGCACCTGCGATCCTAGCATGTTCTGGTACATTTTCAGATTCATGTGGAACCTTTGCGTAGTAGTGTGGATACCGTTTGCAATACTCACAGACCTGTGCGTTATGATCATAGAAGCCTGCACCGCCGCGCGAGGATGGCTCAGCGTATGCATGGCGCTAGCCGTGGTACATGGTACGATAGTTGCCGTAGCAATCGCAATGCTCTCAGGGGAGGGTTTCAAATTGCCACCTGTGGCAGCCTCCCATCTCTTGCAAACCGTTGCTGATGTCGACACACCCATCTTTGTCTTTTCCTGCTCTCTCCACTTTAGTGTCTCCAGTGCCTGTCGCTGCATCGTCACAGCTACAGCTGCTATTGTCATTAACTGCTGCACCTGCTGCGGCAAGATATCCATATGACTAGTCGCTGTAGCTGCCATCATTGTGGCTGTCTGTCCCATAGCCATTTGATTGGTAAGGTGTCTAGTGAGAACGTAAACTGGAAGGAGGTCTCAACCCCTTCTGCACCTGCCAGCTCACTGAATGCTTCGTTCAGCCATGCCGTTGGGTATGTAAAACAACATGCATGTCAGAGCACACGGCCAACATCCTCCTCCTCCTCCTCCCTCTCCTCCTCCTCCTCCTGCCTCTTCAGTCTCCTCCTCTTCCTCTGTCGGCCTCCTTCCGCCTCCTCCTGCTCCCAGCCCTCATTTTCTACATGTTTCTTCCTGGGGCCTCCCGTTTTCTGGGGGTGACTCGTTCCTCCTGGAGCCTCCTGGAGCTTCTTCTTTGGATGTCCCTTGACTCTGGCTTCTTCCCCTCCATACTTTTCATACTCCCTCCCCATATCCCCTTCCAGCGCCAGCACTAATCATGGGCGCCGCCGTGACCAACTTCCACCTGGCTGGCGCTGCGCCGCAGTTCACCCAGGTGGGAAAAATGACAGTGCACTCCAGTCGCTGTATGGGCTTTGGGGGGCTTCTATGGGGCCTGCTGGAGGCTTCTTGGAGGCCTTTTGGGGGCTTCTTGGGGCCCCTTGGGGGCGTCTTGGGGGTTTCTTGGGGCCTATTGGGGGTGTCCTGGGCCGTCTTGGGGCGTTTTTCTGCCGCGTCGCCCCTTCGGAGGCCGTCTTGGGGGCCTCTCGCGGCCGCCTTGGGGCCCTCTTGGGGTCCTCTTGGGCCGTCTTAGGGGCCTTTTGGACCATCTCGGGGGCCTCTTTGGGCCGTCTTGGAGCCCTCTTGGTCCGTCTTGGGGCCCTTGTGGGGACTTTTTGGGTTGTTCTGGGGCGATTTGGGAAGCTGCTTGGGCCGCAAAGGCGAGAACATTGAAATATCGCCAAAACCATATGACAATCAATGATTTCGGCATCTGGAGGAGCAGTTGTGGGCGCTCTTGGGGCCCTTTTGGGCCGTCATTGGGCCTGTTGGGCCCTCTTGGGCCCATTTTGCCCCGTTTTGACGCCCTCGCAGGCCCCCAAGAGGCCCAGGACGCCGAAATCATTGATTTTATATAGATGTTGGTACGTTTTTGAGCCCCAAATGGGGGTCTCCATCTTGGGTCCACGGATGTGGCGTAGCCCATGGGGGGGTAGGGGGGAGACAATAATGTAACGCAATACAATATGTGGCAATCTTGCAACAATTGGATCCATTGGGTACGTTGCATTATCGCCTCCGCAGAAAACGCTGCCGCTCAGCACGTCACCTCCAGACGTGGATTCTTCAAGCTTGCGCCACATCCGCCGACCCCTTTTATTGGAGCTCGGGTCTTGGGTGGGGGCGGGTGGGGGGGGGGCAGGGACCGGCGGGGTCGTGCTGGGGGGTCTTTGGTGTCTCTGGATTTTTTTGGAGGCGTCTTGGGGGATTCTTCGAGGTTCGAGGTTCGCGGACCATGTGTTGCGCGAAGTGCAGCCGTGTCAAAACGAAGCCCAAGTCGCATAGTGGGATCGCGAATTCGAATCTCTCCACCCCGCCCCCGTCTAGGGCATCTGCCGCTCCTGCCGCTCCCGACGGAACTCCCTCCGAGTATCTCCATCGGTTTGGGAATCGGGAGGACGGAAGCTGTCCGGAGGGAACTTGAGCGGAAGGCGCTGGGATTCAGAACCGTGCTGTTCAGAGTTACAGAGCACCCGCTCGCAAGCACGGCGAGGTTCGCTTGCGCATTCACAAAGCTCGCGGCGGCGCCTACCCCCCCAAAAAAAACTGCACTCTACTCTGTCCAGGCTTTCCGAGATACCCCCACTGCTCCAGCTGGTCCTCTACCTCCGTGATGTGGTCGACAACAGCCCTGCGGCGCACAGATGGCCGAGCCACGGCGTTGCGACTCGCAAGAAAGGGGGGCACGGCCTGACGTTGCATCTCATCCAAGACCTTCAGGGCCTCGGCTCCCGATCCACCAGTAAGGACAGCCTCAGCTTGAAGAGCAGCGTGACCGCCTCCAGGACCGCCCACGCCACCCACAGCGCCCTCAGCTGCGGCAGGGGGATGCCCAGCGGAGGGGCCCTGAGGCACGAGGATCGGCCCCTGCACCCTGAGGCCCTTGTCGCAGGCCGTCGCCTCCTGGAAGCAGCGGTTTGGTGGCGGCCCGTCGTGGGATGAGTAAGCGATAGCCCCGCACGTGCAGCGGCGCCCGAGGGGGCTCCAGACCCCGCCGTTCGGGACGAAGGGCAGTGCCTCGGCGCGCGCCCGGATGTCCCAAGCCATCTTCTCGAACTGCCGCGCTTCCAACCGAACTCCACCTTGAGCACCTAGTAGTTCACGGCCGCTCGCCCTTAGGATGTCGATGCCCTGGGCTTCGGCGCGCAAGGCCACGTTACGGCGGATCCGATCGATCCACCGTGATGGGCGGCCAACCACGAGGTCCATGAGAGCGGCCAGCATCGCACGTACCCGCACAACAACCTCATCATCTCCGACAATTGCGTCGATGGACTGTTCAGCCGCCGCCGCCTGCTCCTTGAGCGCCTCGATCTCCTTCATGAGGCGCTTCGCCAACCGGTCCGCAGCATCACGAGCAGCGGCGGCCCCTCGCAAAGGGCTCCCGCGCCATGGTGCCGCCCCCGCGTGCGCCCGTCGAGCCCGCGGCTATGGGGGCCACCAAGGCCATGAGCCAAAATGGCTACGTTTTTGCTGGGGGGGCCCGTCTTTGAGCAATCTGGGAAGATGGGAAGGACCAGCGGCTGAGTAGGGCTTGCGCTTCCATCCTAATCCTCGGCTTCCTCGTTCGGTCCAGCCTCCTCCTTCCCCTGGTCCTCCGACTCCCCTTCCTTTGCTGTCGTCATCATTATCGTCCTCATCCCCTGCCTCCGTTCTGCGCCTCCCTCCTCCTTTTCCCTTCCTCCTCTTCCTCCTCCACCTCCTCGTTATCATCCTCTGTCTGCTCCTCCGTCCTTTCCTCCACTACGAGTAACAACTCTTTGTCGCGCCCCGAAACGTATCGGTGAGGCGGCCCAGGCGTTTCACTTGAGACTTCTTCACCGTTGATGGTCGTAGAGTTTCTGCAACAGCTTGACGCATGGAGGGCGGGTCGTTCCCAATGTGTGGCTCTCGCTTGAGCGCCGCGCACATAATATGTCAAAGCTCTCGCCTGAGCGCCGCGCGCATTTTCTCACACGTGTAGAAGACCTTTTTGCGGATAGAGGGCGGCTCGTTTTCAAAATGTGCCTCACGCCTTAGCGGCAAGCACGGACGTCCTAAACAACCACAGCATTTTCAACGGTAGTTATGCTTGGCGGCCCAGGACCGGAATTTGGCAGCAGTTCGGATTGTCAGGGCGCGATAGTTAATCTGATTGGTTCGCGGAGCGGACGTCGCAAGAACGGTGGTCTGGCACGATTCCGGATCGTCAGGAAGCAACAATCATGTTTGTTCGCGGCGTTGAAATCCGAGGGATGGTGTTCTAGAACGGCTGAAGATTTCGGACGTTTTTGTCGTCCAACGGGCCACTTCCCAGTGACAGCACATGCGTGTAGGGACCTATGAAGAGGGAGCTTGGAATGACGGCTTTTACCTACCAGCGAAGACTGATAGGTTTTTAATGGGGTCAAAAGAAAGCAGCAGATGACTCCACAGGGGGGTCCGGGCGGCATCCGGGGAGCTGGGTCCGAACTCGTTTTTCGCAAACAGTCACACACTTCGTGCTCTTCGACCTCCCAGAACTCCATTCCCGGGCCACATTCTGAATGCCCGGAGCCAACTGTAAGCCACTTCGTGCTCTTCGACTTCCCAGAACTCCATTACCGGGCCACATTTTGAATGCCCGGAGCCAACTGTAAGCGATTTCGTGATCTTCGACCTCCCAGAACTCCATTCCCGGGCCACATTCTGAATGCCCGGAGCCAACTGTAGGCCGTTTCGTGTTCTTAGCCATTCCAAAACTTCATTCCCGGGCCACATTTTGAATGCCCGGAACCAACTGTAGGCCACTTGGTGTTCTTCGACCTCCCAGAACTCCATTCCCGGGCCACATTTTGAATGCCCGAAGCCACCTGTAAGCCACTTCGTGTTCTTCGACTTCCCAGAACGCCATTCCCGGGCTAGAGGCTGGAGGATTTCATGTTGCATTGGTGTGCCGCCTCGCTTGTTGCGCAGTGCCGCTGTGCTTTGTTGTATTTCGGGCCCTCGGCGTTTCGGTGCCTCTTTCTTCGGTCGTGTCCCTCCGCTCGTTTGTCTGTGGTCCCTTGGCCCGCTCTTCGTTTCGGGTCCTCGCCCTTCGTCGGCTTTGCAGAGGGCTGCGGCTCGTCGCCAGCCCGCGCCCAAATAAAATACGAACCAAAAGGTTTCTAAGAGGCCCCAAAACACGACCAAAACCATCATGCTCCCGGAGAGCACTCCGGGAACATGACTGTCGCCGTTAAGCGGGGGAGGAGGAGGAGAAGGAGGACGAGGAGGACGAGGGGGACGAGGAGGAGGCGGAGAGGGAGACAGAGGGCGGAGGGGGTTGGAACGCAAATTCGCGGGGGCTTTACACTTCAGTTCCCGCTGCGTGCGACAGCCGTTAGAAAGGGCGCCTGAACGCATCTGATCAGGGGCGGCGTCGGCTGCGCGGGTGACCGCGGCGTTGCGATAGGGCCTACCAGTGCGGCGGCCAGGTTTGCCATTTCGGAGCAAACAAAGATGGCAAACTCATGGCAGGTTGAATTGGCAGGTGGAGATGCTGGCAAACTAATGGCATAGCTTAAGAAGGCGGGGAGGGAAAAAGAGAGATATAGAGACAGAGAGAGAGAGAGAGAAACAGAGAGAAACAGAAAGAGAGAAAGAGAGAAGGTAGACTGCAAAATTCTTCCTGCACACAGAGATACTCCATAATCCCCCGGCATCTCTTTGTCCTCCTCTTCTCGAGCTTCATCCCGTCTTCTCTTCCCTCCCCTTGTCCTCCCAACCTCTTCATCCTTGTTCTTAGTATGTTTCCTCTTCCTCTTTGCCCTCCTCCCACCCGGCAGCCTTCCCTCCTCACCGTAGGCGCAACCCGACATCGATGGTTTCCTGGTCGGCGGCGCTTCGCTGAAGCCAGAGTTCGCGGAGATCGTGAAGGCACGTCTGGCCGGAAAACAAGCATCAATGGACGGGGAAGAAGTGCAGGGTGGAGGAGGGAAAAGTCCGGAGGAGAAGGAGGAGGAACAGCAGGATAGTGTAGAAGAAAGGATTTTGATGATTGCTTGGTCGCCCTGTCTGGCCTCTGGGGGAGCCGGCCCTGCCGCGGCTGGTTATCTTCGGCGGCGTCCAGAGGTTTCGGAAAGGAGGGTGGAGGACCTTGGCGGGATTTCTCCGCTGTGCAGTACTCGAAGGAAGGAGGAGCACGAGGATCCAGACTCCCTCGCGCCATGAGGGGATCACGACAGGAGGTTATGTATGTGTATATATATATATACAAGACTGCATTGGCACTTCGCGGCATGCACCTTGGTCCTTGAGGCTTTGCATATGTTGGTCGTTCGCACCATCCCTGTGGCCTTGGAAATTTGGCTCATTCCCTGCGGTGGTTTTCAGAAGTCTTCGAAAGTTCGGGCGGTCCCTGGGCCTTCCCAGGCCTCTGGGGGCTCCCGAGAGGCGCCGGGTGGAGGGCGAAGGATAGGAGGGAGGGAATCTCGGCCAGCGAGGGAAGGAAGCGGATGTGGAGGAAGACGAGTGGTGGAGTGGCAGAATGAGGATGAGGAGGGCGCCGTCGGGGGACGGCGAAGAATGTTGCAGCGGGTTGCAGCGGGTTGCAGCGCGTCGCAACGGGGCACGCGAACGCAAGTAATTCTTAGGGAATGCATCCAACCTCGGGTTCGCAACAGATTTCCAGGATCTGCGGTTGCGAGCCCGGGATTCGGGCCAGTTTGGTGGAAAACGCCGTGTGGGCTTTGTTGGAGCCCTGGTGGGCCAGCCGGCTTGGGGCCGTCTCGAGCAGTCTTGAGGCCATCTTGGGCCGTGTTGGGGAGCTTGGGCCCTCTAGGGACCTTACGGGGGCTACGTAGGCCCTCCTGCTGGCCTCCCATGGTCTTTTGGGGGGCCTCCCATGGTTTTCTTGGGCTTCTCTTGGGGGTCTTGTGAAGGCCTGGTGGGCCTCTTTTTGGCTCATGGGGTTTCCTTGGGCAGTCTTGGGGCTGTCCAGGCCGTCTAGAGGCTCTCTTGGGGGTCTCTTGGGCCGTCTTGGGGCGAAACTGGAGGCCTCTCGGTTGTTTTGAACGCTGCTAAGACCCGAACAGCGAATGTGTTGAAAAGGTACGTTTCCCGAAGGGAATGGAGCGATGTTTGCGTTCTGAGGGCCTGTTGGGGCCCTCTTGGGCCGTCTTGGGGGACTCGGGAGGCCCTCTGGGTCCTTCTTGGAGCGCTCTTGTGCTGTCTTGGGTCTCTCTTCGGCCTCTCTCATCACCGCTCTGATCGCTTCGGGGCCTTGTGAGGGCCTGTTGGGCCTCTTTCTGGCTCATTTGTGGATTCCTTGGGCAGTCTTGGGGCCATCCAAGCCGTCCATAGGTTCTCTTGGGTCTCTGAGGCCGTCTTGGGGCGAAACCGGAGGTCGTCTTGGCTGTTTTGGACGCTGCTGTGATCCGAACAGCGACTTGGCTGCGCCCCCAACGAAGTGTGCCCTGGCTGGGAACGGGACAGTGCGGTGGTCAGTCCCAAGAGTGGAGGCCCTGGGAACGGTTGTCTTGCCACGGCACGTGGTGGCACCCCTCACCTTCATTCACCAGTCTGTGCGGCTCTTGGCTGCGACCCCAGCGTTTCGAATGGACAACATGACAGGTGAGCTGACAGTTTCAGCAGGTCCCCATGGCCCTCAGCGAAGTGCGCCTTGGTTGAGGACCTGACAGGGCCGTGGCACGGGCCAAGCGTGGGGTCCCTCGGCATGGCGTCGTGCCAGCGACTCGGTTGCACCCCCACGTTCATTCACAAGTATCTGCGGCTCTTGGCTGCGCCCCCAGCGTTGTGTATGGACATCATGGTTGGAGAGCGGACAGGTTCAGCCACCTCAACGGGTCACCATGGCCCTGAGCGAAGTGGGCCTTGGTTGAGGACGTGCCAGTGCCATGACACATTCCAGCGAGGAGGCCGTGGACATGGCTGTCTTGCCAGCGGCTCTTGGGTACACCCCCCGCGTTCATTCACAAGTCTCTGCGGCTCTTGGCTGCGCCCCCAGCGTTGTGAAGGGACGTCACGACAGAGGAGCTGACAGGTTCAGTCACCCCAGTGGGTCGCTGTGACCTAGACCACCACTATGTGATTTCCCCCAGACTCGCTGGTCGACACGACGTGGTGTATCGGCTGGTCGCCACCGCGTGCGCCGTCATGAGGACGCGTGAGAGTGGCTTCCCCCCATGGCCACCGCCGCGGCCAGCGGGCCTCCCATACCTGCGGGTCCGGCCCGCTTGGTACGGTACGGGGCGCTGCAGGTGCTGGGCTTCGGCACGGTGCAGACCAGCGCACCTCACCGCTTCTGGTACCACCCGATGTCGGGCCTGGCTTGGGCGTGTTCCTGCACAAGTGGTTCATCATTTGGCAGGTCATCGCGGATCCCCTGGCAGGTCCGTCATAAGTGTCCCGGTGAACGCTTGCGACTTTGTGCCCCCGATCCTCTGTGTCGGATAAGTTGCACGCGGTGAACGCCGGCGACGTCGACGACAGGTTCCCTGGCTGGTGTCGTCGCCTTCGCGTTCAAGCTCCTGCACAAGTGGTTCATCCTTTGGCAGATCATCACAGTCCCCCCCGGCCAGCTGGGCCAGGTGACTCGGCCAGCGCTTGCAGCTTTACGCCCCCGATCGTCCGTGTCGGACAAGTTGCAGGCTGTGGACTCAGACGGCATTGACGACTGGTTCTTGCCTGGGTATTGGTCGCTCTCACGCCCAAGAGCGTCCTGTGAGTCACTGTGAGTGAGGCTTCTCTCTGTGTCTTCCCATTTTCCTACTGCCGGGTGCCCTAGCGCCCGACGCGTCTCTCCTGTCCCCGTGCCTCACCTTTTGTAGCATGGACGGTGCGGCCACGCCTGGCCACCCCGTGCCGCCACAGTGCGGCGTGCTCCACGCCCCTTCGCGCTGTACGGTACGGTCGGAGCTTGGCGCCACGTGTGCGACAGCTCCTGTCCGTCCGCTCCTGGTTTTGTGCGCGTTCCCATCTGTCGGGCCGCCAGCGTCAGCCCCCAATGAGGGTCATTTTGTCCCTGGCGTGTGCATTCGCTTCTGCGGCCTATGCGCCTCTGCAGCCAATTATCTCGCTCTGTGCCCCAGACGATATCTTCCCGCTCGCTGGATCTGTCCTTTGAGCCGCCAATCAAACAAGATCCGAACAGCGAATGTGCTGAACATGCGCGTATTCCGGAGGGAAGGAATCGATTTCTGCATTCTGGGCGCCCTGTTGAGGGCATCCTGGGCCGTCTTGGGGGCCTCTCGAGGCCCTGTGGGTCCTTCTTGGAGCGCTTTTGTTCTGTTTTGGGTCTTTCTTCGGCCTCTCTGGTCACCGCTCTGATCGCTTCGGGGCCTTGGGAGGGCCTGTTGGGCTTCTTTTTTGCTCAGTTGGGGTTTCGCTGGGCAGTCTTGGCGCCATCCAGGCCGTCTATAGGCTGCCTTTGGGGTCTCTCGGGCCGTCTTGGTGCGAAGCCGGAGTTTGTCTTGGCTGTTTTGGACGCTACTATGACCCGAACAGCGAGTGTGTTGAAAATGCACATTTTCCTTCTGGAATGAATCGATGTTTGCATTATGGGAGCCTTGTTGAGGTCCTCCTGGGGAGGCCATTTCGGTCCTTCTCTTTTGTGCTGTCTTGGGTCTTTCTTCAGCCTCTCTGATCACCGCTCTGATCGCTTGGGGCCCCTCGCCAGTCCCAAGGACCGACAGAAAACGACTCGGGATGAGAAGCCAGCCCTGGAGAATGAGTTTGGACTTCCAGGGGCTGCGTATGGAACAAAACAAGTCACCGGACGCTTGTGGAGGATGGACAGGGAGAGTAATGATGGCAGACGGAGGCAATCAAGAGGCAGAGGAGGCGGGAGGAGGAGGAGGAGGAGGAGGAGGGGCAGGAGCAGAAACGACCGCGGCGCGGCGTCCATGCAAGCATGGGGTCGGGGGGCTCCCCAGCCTCACGGCCTGGACGTCGGAGGTGGCGCGCGCCAGCGGTGCACACCCTCGCCAAGCCCCATGCTGACGGCCAGGGGTCGGTGTACACCCGTCCGCGGCCAAGCCAGAAGGGCGTGTACAGTGGAGACCCATGCCAATAAACACCCTGCTTGCCTCCAGGGTGCCCTGGGTTTCTTGGGTTTCGATACTTTTGCCATGGAGAGCGTGACGTTCCCACCACACCCAAAGTCGGTGGACGTCCTGGGGTATTAGGGTTGAGTTTCTTGTGGAAGGTTTCTTGTGGACTGGCCTCCCCTGTACCAATCATGTGGGCCCAGGATCGGCCTGGCCGCCAGGATCGGGGAGCTGCACAGTTGGCGTCCTCACGTCATGGGCAACGCTAGGGGGGAGCGGGCTGAGGAAAGGAATGCATCGCCCCCCCCCTGTGATGGGAAGCGGAATCACACTACGACGCGAACGTGATGGAGACGTGAACAAATGTGATGATGTTTCTTTATCGTCGCCTTCGCAATCAAGCGCTCCAACGTTGTGCGCCGGCGTGTGTATTCTTGCCTGTGCGTCCCCTCCGATCGCCCACGCATCGCCGATAGGGGCCCGAGAGCCCACACCACTCAGGAACGCGCGGCTTCGCCATCGGGGGCGGGTCGCCGCTCTGTCGGCGATGTATCGCCGGCTCCAGGTCGATGGTCCCCCTCCCTCCCTGAGCTGACCCCTAGTGATCCTCGTTCCATAGACGAGCTAGCGGCGATGTAGGTAACGGCGATGTAGGTTTCGGTAATGTGGGAACGCGTGGCTCGCGATTTCGTACCATTCGCTGTGTCGTGTTCGCTCGATCCATTCGCAGATTGGAAATGCAGGAAAGTGTGGTTCGCGATTTCCTACAATTTGGTTCCCAACATCACCGTTAAGAAACATCGCCGTTAGCCCAGCCTTGCTCGTTTTATGATTTTCCAATCATAACTCGACTCTCCGTCGGCCGTCTGGGACAATCCCAACAGCCCTGGACGTTTCTCGGCGAGGCGCAGCTGCCGAAGAGCACCCTGATGTTGGAAAATCGCCGAGAACCGACGCAAACGCCCGACGACCTAGAACCTGGAGCCCGAAGCGTCCCCCCCCATCCCAGGCCTGGGCCGATACACGCTCCCAGCAGTTGCGGGGCGCAGGGGCGCTCGAGGGGCACCCTAGACGGGCACGTTCGGGACGCCCTCGGCGCGCTCTGTGTGTGCCCCTTCGGGCTTGTTGTTGCCCCCACTTGGTGCCTGCCCGGGAGGCGATCGCGGAAGCGAAGGCGGCTCAGCCGGCATAGGCAGGATCACGGCCACGGGCAGCATCTGCTGAGAGCGGCAAGGCTGGCCTGCCAAGTGTGTCGCTTCCGGCGGCGCGCAAGACGGGGCAGAGTCGGTGTCGAGGTGGGGGGGGGGCGGGTTCATTTCAGAAGTCCCCGCGACTCTCTGAGGGTGCACGGGGATACCGTGCCCAGAGGGGCCGATCCCTGCCGAGAAGCCCGCTGCCTTCTTAGAGCGCCGGGTGTTGCCAGCGATGGCCCTGGACCAAGGTTGCCCACAGAGAGGCCCAGACGAAGGCAGCCTCTGGGCCCGAGGGAGCTTCAGGATGGCGCGAGAAGCTGCACCCTCCGAGAGTGCTGCCCCCCCACTCGCTGCCTTGCCTCCCCCTTGCACGCCGCCGAGCTGTTTTCTGGCGCGTCGCCAGCCAGGCAGTCCCACAAGAGCGGGACGCCATTTTCGCGCGCGCGCCGCGCTCTTGGGCGTTTTGGCGACCTGACTTGGCGCGGAATTTTGAGGTAGAGATCACGGACCCCCCCCCCAGCCAGACGCATTCAACGACCTCTGGGAGATCGGGGTTTGAAAAAAGGAGGAGGGTGTGGTCAAGGGGGGGTAATTACGAAAATTGGCAAGTGCAGCTGGTCCTGCCTCCGCCGTAAGACACGTGCCTCGATACATGGTCGTTCATGGCCCCTCGAGGCCCAACCCGAGACGAGATGTCCGACCCGTAACCGCCGAAATCCCCCAGGCATTTTCAAATAGGGCTACCCAGATGCAGCTGCGAATATCGCGAGGCAGGTGGGAAGCAGGAGGGGTACCCAGCAGAAGGACAATGGCGCGGAGGAGGAGGAGGAGGAGGAGGGCGAATGAGGGCACGCGGGGCAGGGGCGATGAGCGATCGGGCGCTCGGGGAGACCTTTCTTCTAGACGCCCGAAACATGCAAGCGTGTCGCCCGCAAAGATGCCGAACGCAGAGGAGTCCCCGCTACACGCGCTGGCCGCCCCGAAGGAATTCCAGCGACGCTCGCGGGTCATCCGCCACCGGGGCCATCGGTGGAGTTTTCTATGGGGCCACGAGACGTGCGAGGCGGGTGTGCCGAAATTGGCTCGGAGGCGTCACGTGGCCTCCACATCGGGGCCTTCAGTGGAGCTTCCCATGGGGCCACGGAACGGGTGAGGGGTGTGCCGACACGGATGCAGTGGCGCCACGCGGACACTTCTTTTGGAGCCTTCGATGGAGCCCCCCTATGGGGCCACAAAACGTTTGAGGAGTGCGCCGAAATTTGATTGATGATGGAGATAGTGCTGATGCTGGTGCCGATCAGGTTGCTGATGACGGTGCTGACAAGGATAGTTGCCATGATGCGGGTGGTGATACCGATGCTGCTGGTGCTGATGGTGGTGGTGTTGGTGATGGTGGTGGTGGCGCCAACGGTGATGATTCGATGATGGTGATGATGACGATGACAATGACGATGATGATGATGATGATGATGATGATGATGATGCTGATGATGATGATGAGGATGATGAGGATGATGCTGACGACTATAATGATGATGGTGATGATGACGATGACTAGGCAATGGTGATGCTGATGGCGATTATGATGGCGCGTGCTATGATGATGATGATGCTGATGATGATGATGATGATGATACTGCCGAATCTGATGTTGGTGATGATCATGATGCTTATCATGATGAATAATATGATGACGGTGATGATGGTAATGACGATGATGCTGATGATGATGACGATGATGATGATGATGATGATGATGATGATGATGATGATGATGATGATGATGGTGGTGGTGGTGGTGGTGGTGATGATGATGCGTGTTATGACGATGATGATGATGATGATGATGATGATGATGATGATGATGATGATGATGATGATGATGATGGCGATAACGATTATGAGGAACATGATGACGATGACAGGGAGGAGGGAGGATGAGGGGGAGGAAGATGGAGGGATACGCGGGGTGCTGCTGATTCAAGCCGAGGACCCAGCACCACAGGATGGCCGGGGGAAAAAGGAACACATGAACCACGTTGGGCAAGTGGCCTGCGCGCGCCGGAAGCAGTCGCGCGCGGGTGCCTTCTCGCCGCGCCGGGCGGCTTCGACGACGACGACGACGACGACGAGGCGTGGGCCACGCGCGGTGCGCTGTGCAACGCAGCCACTACGGAAGGCGAGAGGAGCAGCAGCGCCAGGAAGGAGGAGCAGGAGCAGAATCAGTTGCAGCTGGAAGGGAGGAGGAGGAGGGGGAGGGTCTGGAACAGGACCCTCCTCGACCCTCCTCCTCCTCGACCCTCCTCCTCCTCGACCCTTCTCGAGATCCTGCTCCTCCTCGACCCTTCTCTCCCTACCTATCTCCCTCTCTCTCTCTCTCTCGGTCCGCCCCTCGCTTGATCCTCCTTCTTCCCGTCCCTCCATTCCTCGTCCTCCCCCCCCCCTCTCTCCCATCGCTCCTCCTACTCTCCACTCCTCTCCCCACCCTCCTTTCATTCCCCCTCCTGCCTCCTCCGACTCCTCAGTCTCCTCCCTCCTCTCTCTCCCTTCCTCCTCCGACTCCGCCTCGTCCTCATCCTTCGGAGTGAGGACTCCTCGTCATCTCCCATCCCTTTTCCCTCGTCCCTTTTCCTGCCTCCTAATCTTCATCGCGCGTCCTCCCTTCGCCACCTCCTCTTCCTCTTCCCTCACCTCAGTGCCTTGCATCTCCAACTCAGCGCCCCAGCGCCGAAATGCACTATGCCGAGATGGAGCACCCCTCGCCCTGCTCGACTCCCAGCAGCCATCCGAACGCCTTCGACGCGCCTGCCAACAGACTGTGACCGCGCGGGTAGTCGCACACGCGGCGCTGCCCGGCGTGTCGGCCTACACCCAGCTGGGGGGGGGGGCCAGGAGCGCCGCCTCGTGGGCACGCGCCCGCCTGGGACAGAGCTGGGCGCCCCCAGGGGGCTCGAGGCCAGCGTGCCCGCCGCCCTTCGCACCTCCCGCGCGCCGCCGACGTCGAGCGCCTGCTCCAGCGGCGCGGCCGCTGCGGCCGCCCCGGCGCAGCCCCTCGCGCGGCCGCGGGGCGAGGCCGCCCTCCCTGCGGGGCCCTCCCCCTGGCGGGGGAAGGGGGGGGGGCGCCGCCGGGCGTAAGCCCATCTGGCCTCTGGCGGGCTGGGGCCGTGAACGATCATCCGTTCGGCCTGATCGTTCGATCGCGCCGATCGACTCACGCCAATCGTGATCGGCCGCCCGCGGGGCCGGGCTCGCGCGCCGCGGCGGGTCGGCGATAGCCGACGCCGCAGCCGCGACCCTGCGCCTGGCTGCGCGCCCGCTGGCGCGCCACGTGGGGCCAGACGCCTCTGGAGCCCGCCTGGCACAGGCGGGAGAGGGCACGCCGCTCCTCGGCGAGGGCCCTGCTGCGCGTGGTGGAGGCGGCCAACGTCCTCAACAACCACCACTCAGCGCAGCAGCCCCAGCGCCAGCAGCAGCACCTGTGCAGCCGCAGCAGCAGCGCGATGGCAGCCAACGCAAAGTCTCACGGTCATCCAGTGGGTGCCAAGCCGTGGCCATGGAGGTCAAGCACACCAGCATCTGGCTCAGCTCACCGCCGACACCACGGAGGGCATGGACAGCAGCAGCCACGGTACCAGCCCCAGCACAACCAGCACCACCACGCCTCCTACCACGACGAGGACCGACAGCAACACAACTACGCCCAGCATCAGCAGCAGCATCATGACGATCGCACCACAGCGAGAATGAAGCGGTCTTCCTCGAGACGACGCCGCCTGGCCTCCGAGGACACCACCAACGACCACCGACATCTGCAGAAGCTGACGAAACGACAGTTGGAGGTCACTGACAAGGTCATGCCCGCTTTGCTTTCGGATGCCAAGGGACATGAAAGCTTTTCTCTTCCTCCCGACGAGCCAGACATACGTCGGGTCTGGCACGCAACCAGGGTGGCGAGGATGGCACGTCTCGCCGACCAAGTCCTCGGAGCCAGGCAAGCTCAAGTTGACCCAACCCGCCTGATCGAGGAGCTGGCCATCGTCAAGACCATGCTACATCTATTGGACACGCCTACTGCTCGCATCGCTCAATACAGATCCCAAGTGGAGTCACGGATCCAGAGACAGCGGATCGTCGAGAGCCAGCTTCACGACATCAACAAGGAGCACGACGAGATCAAGAGCGAGATCGCATCCTTCAAGACACTCATCTCCGAGGCCAAACAACATCGAGAACACGCCGACCTTTCTGAAGACAGCTGTGACGGGGACGGCGAAGATGATGTGCGCCCTCGCGTCAGGGGCAAAACACCACACCCTGAGGGACGACAGCGACCACTAGTTTGTCAACCCGTGTCCGAGCCAACGCCCGCTTCGACTACCAACGACGACAGCGACCTGCGGAAACTCATCGACGTGCTGACGAGGAGAGTGGATGAGCAGCAGCGCAACCACGGGATACACCAACACCATCTGGCGTTTCTCCATCATGAACGTGCCGAATCTGAGCAACACGAAGCACAGCGTCAACTGCAGACCGAGCAGATTCAGGAGCTTTCGCAACATCTACAACACTGCCAGGAACAGTTTCAGCAAGCACAACTCCAGCAGAGACAGTCGCACTACGACGAGATCCAAGTCTTCCGACGGCGCGAGGAGCGGCTCCGATACGAGGCTCGCGAATCCATCACAGAGAACCTGGCTCACTACCAGCAGAAGGAGGCCTACATGCGCGACCAGCTCAAGGAGGAAGAGTCAGCGCACCTCGCCACTTTCATCACCCAGAGGAAGCAGGAGGAAGAGACTTTCCGACACCAGCTACACGAGAACGCCGAGATCATGGTCCAACAATATCAACAACGATGCCACGAACAACAGCAACGTCTTCTCTCCGAGAAAGCTCAGGCTCAGCAGGAAATCAGCAACATCGCGAGGGTCGAACAGAACCAACTTCAGCATGCCAAGGAGCTACTCTTGGAGGAGTTCGGACAGGTCCAGGCTCAGAAGTACCGCACTCTGACGGCCCAGAGCGAGTACAACAGCGAGATCGACAAGCTTCGAGGCACCTCCCGCGACATGCAACGCTTCGAGAACGAACTCCAGGAGCAGCACCAACTCCAACTTCAGGAGCACCTTCAGCAACACAGACAGGAGCGCGAGCGACTGCACTGCGAACTGCAGCAAGCCCATGAGCTCGGCACCAGCATCGACGTGGACATCCTCAGGGAGCTCGACACACAACTTCAAGAACGAGACGAGGAAGACGCACGACTGCAAGCCCAAGCAGACGCCGAACAAGCACAAATCGACCAACAGGTACAAGCGGCACTCGACCTGCTGACCCCACCCTCTACCTCCGAGGACTCGGGCTACCAACTCTACCTCAGAAACTGCGGCAGCAGCAGCGGTGGACAGCCTAGCAGCAGCGGACAGCGCAGAAGCACACCACCACCACGACCGACACCTGCGACGCCAACCGCCACTCCTACTGCGCGACGCCCATGCCACGACGCCGACGACGCCAGCGTGCACACTCCAATCCCAGCTGACGACGACGACCTTTGCAGCCCAACCCCTGTTGCGAGCGACGCATATCCCTTCCCTGCCCCTACGCCACTACCTACCCCCGCCTTGCATACGCCAATCCCCCCTGAGCAGCCCACGCCCATCGATTTCCACCCACCCGATCTGCAGCATGACCGACCCAGCTCAGCGCCACCAACACGCACCAGAAGGACAGACCCAAATCGGCACAACCACCCATCCACTACTCTTCTCATTGACATCACTTCCGACGACGATGCACCACCACCTTCCACCCCAGTGCGCATTCCACTAGCCGACATATCCCCTACCGCACCGATGCAGCCAATCCAACCACCACCCCGCTTCCACCTCGCCACGCCTGACCGCGCCACCTCCGCTCCTCCGCCCCGCACCGCTCTCCGCAAAAACGGATCATCTAGCCGAACGGCCAAGCACAAGAAAGTCCGCATTTGCGACATCGGAGACGGCTTCGCAGACCCAGGAGACCGTGTGCCAGCCTTCCTCTACGACGAGGAAGCCCCCGCGGTCAACTCACCAAAAAACTAACAAGGCCCTCACCCCCTGGGGGGCAACTGGCCCAGGGGGAGCGGCCCAGCATCATACCAGAAGACTACCAGCGCAACGACGGCACTTCCGACTCCTGCAGTGGTTACGCCGACGACGTCATGCGCCTCCGGGAGCCCCTCCGAAGGAGGAGCAGATCCGCTGCACTTAAGGGCCCCTTAAGTGCAGCGGGCTGTCTTGGCCTCCGGCAGCCCCCTAAACCCTACGACACTTCACAAGTTTCACCTACCGTATCATCAGCCACTAGCGACATGCGCGTGGGGGAGAGCGCACCTCCAGATCTTTACGAGCATGGCGACATGTGGGAAATCCACACACCGCCCAACATGCTACAGCCTAGTAGTGGACCGTGGACCATCCCCTCGGCCGCTACCTCTCGCTTGGGGAGCGCGAGAAGGCTGTCTCACACAGATCCCACACTAGAGCCACATACGCTAGCGGACCGACCAGATACCGCCACCCAACCTCGACGGCAGCATGTCGACTCACATCCTCCACCAGCGGAAGCCCAGTCACGGTCGTTCCCGACGATGACGACGCCACCGCCTACGCCTCGAGAGGACGCATCGCTTTGTGAGTACAACACGGGGGGGTGCTGCCGTCTGTGGCCAGAACGACCAGAGCCACCAACAAGGCATCGACGCACTAGCCATTTTGGCCAAGATGGCGATCGAGACCGACAATTTTGTGACTCACTGAGCCGGCCATGTACATCAACTTCCCGCCGGCCACAATCTCCCATTTTTGACTCCCTTGACGCTACCCAGGTCCCACATGGACAGACCGACCTGCCGAATGCGGAGAGCCACGAGGCGCTACGGCATGTTCGTTTCTCTCGCGAAGTTCACACCCGCGACCAGCAGACCGACAATATCCTCTACCACATCGACTTCGACGAACAGGAGCCCTTACTCCAGCACCTTCGACGACTTCAGGCTCCCAGGCTTACCTTCGACTTCACCGACCGTTGCCACAACGAGGTATCAGACTACATGGTGCGAACATTTCCATACCGACAGCTTCCACGAGATTCTCGCCTGTATTTATACACCGACGGCTCCAAACACCCACGCCAACATGGTCAAGACGGATGGTCGGTTGTACTCGTCGGAGAAGACGAAGAAGGTTTCTCTTTTCAAGGCGCAATAGTCGGCAAGCACCGCGACTCCACCCTCGTAGAGATCCAAAACCTCACGGACAACGAGACCACCTCGACATCCAGCGAGATCACAGCGCTCATCTGGGCGTTCGCCTACATCATCCACAAGGACATCCACCACAGCATTTCGGTCCACTCCGACTCGCTGGGAGCGATCCAACTGGCCAGGATGGAGGCTTTTACTAACCGCGACGCCCACCTTGTGCAGCTACTGGTGATCATGTACTCGCACGTCAAGGAATATGTCGACCTGCGTCACGTTCATGCCCACGAGATGAACCCGTGGAACGAAGTTGCCGACGCCGCGGCCAACTACGCCCGAATCGAGGACTACCCGCACCCACAACCCGAATGGGCCGACATACTCAACGCGTCCCCTCAGCGCAGCTGGGAATTCCTACTTGATGCCGACAACCACACCAAGGACGCTTACCCATCCTTTTCACCTGGGATGCTCAAGGCCCAACGCATCGATACCACGGCAACGACAGCTCACCTTTCGACACCAGCCAAGACCACGAAGACCTCGACCGAGATAGACGTCAACATCGCCACCTACAACATCCAGTCAGGGCGCGAACCTGGCCTCGGCGCTCGACGGCGCAAAGAGAAGATCCACAAGCTCAGAAAGACTATGCTCAACCTGTACATGGAGGACCTCCACCTGATCGGCATCCAGGAAGCCCGCACGCCCTGGGGAGTTCGCAGTGGCAACGACATCACCAGCACGAGTGCGTACGCCTACCACGTCATCTCAGGGGGCCACGACCAGTACAACCTCGGCTGCGAGCTCCACATACTCACCAGCAAGCCGTACGGAAAGGCAGGAGCCAAGGACCTCTACTTCCGCCCCGATCAGTTCACTGTCATCGAGCACAGCCCTCGGCACCTCATAGTAAGGATCGAAGCCCCAGGCTTTCGACACACAGTCTGCGTCGCCCATGCACCACATTCACGAGCCACGCCACACGAGAAGGATACCTTCTGGGAGATGATCGAGTGCGCAACCTCTAACCACAATATCAACATCTTCTTCATCGACGCAAACGCTCGAACGGGCAGCTTATGCAGCCAGGCAATCGGCGATCAAGGCTTCAAGCAAAAGGAGGACGACAACGGCGAACGCTTCCACAAGGTCCTGCAAGGTAACTCTCTCATCGCCGCGAATACCTTCAAAAGCGGTGGCCAGGACCACTACACCTGGGACTCAGGCAAGGACGTGCACAGACTGGACTACATAGTGGTTGGCCACGAGCTCTTCGACTCCATCTCCTACACGTCCGTAATGTACGGCATCGACACAGTAGACGACCACTCACACAAGAACGACCACTTCCCTGTCAAGGCCAACCTCGCCTACACCGTCGAGACCGCCTACCAACACGGCACGCCCAAGCTCGACATCGCTAAGCTCGACTCCGAGACAGCCAAGAACGACTTTCAACGACGCCTGCAGCAGATCCAACACCCTCCCTGGGAGACCAACCTCAACGACCATACTAAGAGCATCGTCGATCAGATAAAGGACGCAGCCTACGCCAGCTTCAAGAAGCAGCATCATGCCCCCCGCAAGCCCTACATTACCGAGGCCTCCTACGCGCTTCTTCGATTCCGACGCACCCTCCTCAAGACGATCCGCATAGTGAAAAGGAATGGCATTGGCTCCAAGAAATCACGCAGACGGATCCGATACACCGCGCACCTCATCGCAAACCAGTCGGCTTCAGCGTCCCCTGACGACGTCATCCACCTCCTGGACATCCCTGGATACACCAAGTTGATGATCAAGACCATCCTCTTCATCAACCACGCGGACCCCGACCACGCCACGGCTCCACACCACGACAGCACCTCCTGCACAACCACCTTCACTACTGATCTTTTCGACTCATACATGAGCTTCATCCAAGATACCGACCGCGCTCTCAGAAACCGCCTCGACCACGACCGCGACGCCCACCTCGAGCGCTTCTCCGACAACATGATATTATCAGCAGCAGGGAATGCCCCTCGGCAGGAATGGGCAAGCGTGAGGGCCTTACTCACATACGGCGGCCGTACACCTAAGAGAACTCCGACTCCCAAAATACGCCAAGACGATGACGGCGCTCCACTCACGACGCCACAAGCCATCGCGGAGCACGCCCTTCGATACTACGGCAACATCGAGAACGGCATCAACACCGACATCGAAGGCGTCGTCAAGTACTACAACAACAAGACTGCGCACACTAAGCCGATCCCCCACATCGACAACGTCCAGACCATCCACAACCTGACATCCGCCCTGGCAGCCGCCAAGAAAGGCAGACGCGGCGGGCCCGACGGGAACACCGACGACATGGCACGAGCAGCGCCGCGCCAGATGGCCCGACTTCTGCACCCCATCATGATGAAGATGCAGCTGATGACGACGGAGCCCATTTCGGCGAAGGGCGGCTTCTCCACCCATTTCTCCAAAGGACAAGGACAGCTTCATCTGCAGAAAGCCTACAGGGGCATCCTCCTGAACAACACTATTGGCAAGATCAACAGCAAGTTCCTGAGAGGCCTCTTCCGCGACATCTTACCCGACCTGCTTATGGACACACAATGCGGCGCCGTCCCTCACAAGGCGACTGACTTCATCACTCACACCGCCTACACCTTCTTAGACGACTGCCGTACGCAGGCTCGCACGGGCAGCATCCTCTTCCTGGACTTGAAAGAAGCCTTCCATTCGGTAATCAGGGAGTTCATTTTCCAGCTGCCGACTCAGGAGGACGAGCTCGAAGACGTCATCGACAACATCGAGATTCCCATCTGCCTTCTTCCCTCTCTACGACAACGCCTTCGCTGTCCAGCACATCTCAACGCCCACGTCGACGACTCTCACCTCTGCGCCCTCGTTGCCGACCACCACACGGCCAACTGGATGACCGCTAAGGGCACCGACGCATACGTGATCCCTCGCACTAGTACCAGGCCAGGGGTGCCATACTCCGACGCGGCTTTCAACATGCACTTCTCCCTAGTGCTTCAGGCCATCGCCGACGACACCGATGGGGCAGAAGACGGCGAGAGCGGCCACCACATCCGCCCCTGCGACAACCCGCTCTTCTCTACGGCTCCTCATCACGGCGGCAAGCTGACCAACATGTCCTTCGTCGATGACCTCACCGACTTCAACTCGACCACCCGCCACTCCGACATCATTGACATTACGAGAACTTCAGCCGAACGACTATGCCGTACAGCATTCACCTACGGGCTCAAGCCACACCCAGACAAGACCAAGGTCATCCTCTCCTTTAACGGGACGGGATCCAACGTCGCACGCAGTAGGCTTGCACAGCAGAACATTACATCAATCCAGCTGAGCATCATGTCGATCTCGGTCCAGATCACAGACCAGCACCGACTCTTAGGCACCATCCTCACCAGCGGCAGCATGGGCCCCGAGGTGCAGAATCGCATGCGACGAACCGACGCTTCGGCACGAGCTCTTGAGAGGCAAATCCTACGACGTCGACGCCTACCCCGCAAAACAAAGATCAAGTACGTGCACGCCCTCTCGACTGCCTCATTAACCTTCAACCACCACGTCTGGCCAGCACTGACCCAGACTGACCACCAGCGCATCTCCAATGCCTACTCGAAGCCCTATCGCACGGCAGCTGGAATACCCAAAGCTAACTCGCAGCTTCATCATTTCACGGCCACCGAAGTAGTAGCCTACACTGGCATCCCCGACTTCGACCACCACCAGTCTGCTGGAAGGCTGCGATACTTACCACGGCTTCTACGATACGCTCCTCAGCAGCTCCTCCAACTGCTTGACAACCAGCGACGGAGAAAGGGCTCATGGACATACATGCTTTTCCAGGACTTCGACTTCCTGCGCACATACCTGGACGACCAGCGCTGGCCCACGACCAGCAAGCTCGACTCCGACGTTTTTGCATGGGCACGCGCCACGCCGAAGCACTTCAGCAACTCCGTCAACCTGGCTGTCACAAACTACATCCGCGCATCCAAAGACCGCGCCCACGCCGACAAGCTGACCAAGGTGCTCAGACCCGACGGTCCCATTGGTGCGGACCCCACGCCATCACGCGACAACGGCGCCAGCAACTTCATCTGCTACGAGTGTGGAATCGTTACCAAGACCAAGCAGGGCATGGCAATACATATCGGACGTGAACACCGACGACCTGAGCATCCGCGAAACTGGGCATCGGGTACATCGTGCAGAATATGCCGCAAGAACTTCCACTCCTTCGCCAAGCTCGTGAAGCATCTAACGACGGTCGCCCGCTGCCGACGGTCTTGGCACCTGTGGTATTTACAAGGGCCTGCCCTCACGGAAGAGGACGTGGCCACCAATCAGGCGACCTACGCAGCCAGCATAGCCGACAACAAACGCAGAGGCCGCCCCGAACTATACCACCCTATCCCTGCCCACGCATCCGACGTCACTCCCTTGCCCTCCCTTGACCTTTCACCATCACCACCGCCATTCTTCCCGACGGTACCAGCGATTACACCACCACCACCAGCCTACTACCCTCGGACACCGACCAGAAACAGATCTCTGCTTTACCTCACCAACATTGACAGACACCCGAACGATCTGCTCGACACTACGGACCAACGACTATGCTACAATGGAATGGTGATGGAACGGGTTACTCTGACCTTCGATGACCTCTACTCTGTCGACCACCCATCTCAGTACGACGCCCTCGACTCGCTCCACCAGCACATACGACAAGGCGACTTTGCTGGAGTGATGATCAACCTCTCACCCAGCACGTGGATCGACCAAGTCGATGGCGACCCGCCCGACAGAACGGCAGCATCTTCCAGAACGACCACGGACCCCTGGGGCAGAGTAAACCTTGGAGGTGAGGCAGCCGAACGCCGATTGATTGCGAACCACCACGCCCGCCTCGCCATCCACACCTTCCACGCGGCTCACGTCGCCGAAGTACCAGCACTACTAGCGCAATCCTCAGCCCCAGCAGGTCCGTCAGTGATGTGGAATACTGAGATGATGCTCTACGCTACGGAGAACCTTGCTACGAGACGACCGACCATCATAGACGACGCCAGCAGCCTCTACGCCATCTACTTCGGCCTCTCCCAGGACCACCGTAATCCCCTCGACGACTTCGTCACCTCCATTTTGGGCAGTCTGCCCCAGCTTGGTCGGACAGCAGCCGCTGATCCGACGACCCGATCTGGCCGTAACATGGCCCAAGACGATCGAGACAGGCGCCCACCACGGCAAGACGGCCGCAGTGCTCACGGAGGCCGCCAGCCCCATCCTGGACGCCCCCTCGAGGGCGAGGGGGGGGAGGACTCGGTTCAGGCCTGACCGAACCGAGCCGCCGCCGGCGGGCCGCCGCCTGCGCGCAGGCCGTCACGGGGGTTTTTTCCCTTCCTCTTCAGGCCTTTAATGAGCCCCCTCTTCCTCCTTCCTCGTCCCCGAAACTCCTGGGCCCGTTTTCTCGGTCCTTTTCGGCCCCCGCCCCTCTGGCGGGAGCATGTGTCGGGGGGTGACCCCCCCCCACGCGCCTCGGGCGCGCGCGCGTAGCTTCGGCCGCGCGGACGGCTGCGTCCAACTGGACATCGAGCCGATAGCGATAGCGATAGCGATAGCCGCCGGGCGTCGGGCCTCAGGCGGTCGCCGAGCGCCGCCGACGTCGAACACGTGTGTCGCGCGCCGACTCTTCCGACGTGCGGCCTCGCGTTTTGGGGAGGGCGCCTCGGCCACCCGGGCAGTCTCCGCTTCGGAGCGCACTAGGTCTGCAATGTGAGGTTGGCTGCGGTGCCGGCTTCGTCTACCGGTGCGCGTTTACAACAGACGGCGACGCGACACATGAAGTTCTAGTGGGATGCGAAAGCCGGCATCCACATACGTTCTCGAAGGTCCGTTCCGAATTCTTTTGAGCTGCGCTGGGCCCTCCTGGCGCGCTCCGCGCGCCGGAGACGGGGGCCAAGGGACGATCAAAAAAAGATCGGCGGTGTCCGCCGAAAGTTCATGTGAAGTTCGTACTTATGCAGTGCTTTCCTCCTTTGATGAGAATGAGAGAACCGAATGGTCTTACAACATTCCCGGGTGCATAGGTGAAGTGGGATTCCGATGCCCGGATTATGCTTGTTTGTTGTGCTATTGTCGTTATTGTTGTTGGTGTGGTTGTTGTTGTTGATGGTGGTGTTGGTGTTGGTGTTAGTGTTGGTGTTGTTGTTGTTGTTGATGATTTTGTTGTTGAACACTCATTTCTAAAGAATAATTATTGTTGATCCCCCCCACTGGTGCATATTGTTTTTTCTCCGTCAAAGAGTGCCCCTCGACGCTCGCACCCTGATTTTTGACAGGGAAAGTCTTGATGGTCAAACTGGACCCCTGGCCCCCCGGATTACAACAACAACGGCTCCCGCCTGAGACTTCCTCCAAATTTACTCAGGCCCCCCCCCTCCCATCTGAGATTTCCTCCCAATTTGCTCAGGAACGGCGCTCCCGCTTGAGACTGCCTCACAATTAGTCCGGGTCAAACTGATTTGTTGCTCACCTGGGCTGCAACAACAACGGCTCCCGCCTGAGACTTCCTTACGACGTATTGAAGAATCACGCTCTCGCTATGGACCTGGCAATTTCCGAACCGCGGCTCCCGCCTGAAACTTCCTGAAAATTTATTATAGAATTGTATTGTAGAATCGCGTTCTCGCTTGGGACTTCCTCGCAACTTATCACTGAACCGCTTCGCGTGATATTTCCTCACAATTTATCCAGATGCCGGTCCTCGACACTCAGGAATCGCGCCCCCGCTACATATTGCCTCGTGGTTCAAGCAGGACTCACGCTTCAACGACCGGCCCGCTCGACCCGCCCGTCGGGGCCTGCCCGCCCGACCAACCCGTTAATGACAGCAGTCGCCGCTCGTTGCCCTTCGCCCGCCTTCGATGCCCCTCGCTGCCCGTACTGGTTCCGCGGTCGCCGTCGCTCGCTGCCCTTCGTGGCCCCGTTGCTGCCCTCAGAGGCCCCGTCGCTGCCTTTTGTGGCCCCGCATTACATGCCCTTCGTGGCCCCCGCTCGCACGCGCCCGTCGTGGCCCCATACGCATGCCCTTCGTAGCCCCGCTGTCGCCCTTCGTGGCCCCCTCGCTGCCCTTCGTGGCCCCTTTGCTGCCCTCAGAGGCCCCGCTGTCGCCCTGTGTGGCCCTGTATACGAATGCCCTTCCTGGCCCCCGCTCGCTCCCGTCGTGGCCCCATGTGCATGCCCTTCGTGGCCCCGCTGTTGCCCTTTGTGGCCCCTCGCTGCCCTTCGTGGTCCCGGTGCTGCCCTCAGCGGCCCCGTCGCTGCCCTCTGTGGCCTCGGATGTTATGCCCTTCGTGGCCCACGCTGGCGTTTCTCACGATTTACTTGGGAATCGCGTTATCGCTCGAGACTTCCTCGCGATTCATGCAGGACCCACGCTTCAGCAACCCGCCTGCTCGACCTCGTCGCTTGGGCCCGCCTTCCCGACCTGCCCGCTATGGGTCTACCCACCCGATCTGCCCGTTTGGTTCTACCACTTGTTTTCTGCTCCTTTCCCCCTTCCTGCTAATTTGTCTCGTGCTCCATTCTTCTCACTCTCCCTTTCACCCGTCCTCTCTTCCCTGTTTGAGGGGCTGCATTAAGTACACGTGGCAGGTAAGGAAGATATACCCCCAAGGGGATACGATCGAAGATGACGAGGGCGGGTACCGAGAATTTGGGATATACGTATTGACTGGTACGTGAGCAGATAGGAGCGAACAGTCGTAAAATGATTGTTGTTGTTGTGCTCTTGGAGTGCAATTTCTGAAAAACAAAGGTTAGCTGTTGATCCGTGGCCATGTTGGCTCGAGCCAGTTGGGGTCAAGATGTTGGCGTTCGTGCTCAAGCAACCAGGCTGGTGCAAATGAATCCAGAAAGCAGTCTCTGACACCGCTTTTTGCAAGGCAGTTCGTGCCATGAGCCATGGGGTCTAGTTCGAGTGCAGGAGTCTCTGCAGCCGTAGGTGCTGCATCTGATGCAGAGCTCGCAGCTGCTTTGGCTGGGCTTTCCTTCGAGAGCCGAAAGCAAGTCATGGAAGCCTTGGTGCGCGCCACCGTGTAGTCTGGTCCGAAGATTGTGGTGCAGCGAGCTTATTTTCATCCGACAATGAATGGGGCTTGGAGAGCACAGTGAAGTGTATGCTCAGAGTGAGGCGGGGGTGCGAGATTACTGTGAGACGTTGAGCAGGTGGTCGACCGATTCTGCGCAACAGGATTCGGTGGTGGAGGATCTGATGACCCGCTTTGCCGAGGAAGGTTGCTGGAGTGTCGAGGCTCTTCTAGGAACACCCGCAAAGACCACCGCCAGTGCCATCAAGGAATCGCTGCAGGCCAAAACCGTGGTCGAGACGCTGAAGGTGAAGGACGTCAAAGTAGCCCACAACGAGCGCCACTGCGCAGCTTCGATCGAGGTCACATGTAAAGGCGCAGATAGCCCGCCCTATCACCGCATCGACGTCTTTCATTTCAACGACGCCAGCAAAATTGTCCGAGCTCCAGTCCTACACTCGTCCAAGCGATAGTCCTGCCCTTGCTGATCCTGATCCTCGCACTTGTGTGGCGAGCCAGACCGAGGAACTGGTGCGCGCCTACGCCGCCGCCAGGACCAATTGGCACAACGATGGTTGCGAGACACAGACTGCTCTCTTTGCAGGTGGCGCTTTCACCATGACAGACCCAGTCGGAACCCCAGCCAAGACGACCCACGCAGAGGTGAAGGAGTTCCTCTGGAGCCTCTCTGGGGGAAAGCCCGCGCCCGCGATGACCACGAAGGAGATATTTGTGAGTGCCGACGAGCGGCAGTGCGCAGCGTTACTTGAGATCCAGATGACCGCGATGAGAGGGCAACCGACGTTCAGCGTCATTGACACCTTCCAGTTGGAGGATGTGCTCAAGGTCGACACGTTCGATGTCGACGCTAGCGCGGGCGAAGCGGTGGACTTGCTCTCGGCGCCGTGTGGATGGGCCAAAATCGTGACGGGCTTCGCGGCGGATCCCGAGAGCGTGATGCTCGATGCGAGCCAGGGTTTCCGGATGACGACGATGCAAGACAATCGGATGTGGGTCACCGACCTCGCTATCCGGGAGGGCCCGGTGCTCTCGGTCCGGATCGCTGTCACCGACCCCGAGAAGGACCGGGGCCCGCGGCCGAAGGCGAAGCTCTTCACCGTGGTCCAGACACGGACACTGACACCCACAGGCGCGGGTTGCACCATCGAGAGAAAGTTCACCGAATACGATGGCTCAGAGCAGCTGCGGGGCTTCCTGGTCAGCGTCATGATTGACAAAGAGAGCAAGTTCGTCGTGGAGACTCCCGCGTCGAAGTCCTGAGTCGGGGCTACGTTGATCTCGGCATAAGGGAAGTCGCGCTCTGGATTCATAAGTTTGTCTTCTTGCTTCTATCACTCGAGCGGTTGCTGTCATTATCCGGTGAACCTGTGTTGGCCCCTCTACTTGTTCTCCTCGTACCTTGTGATCCACATCTGCGTTATGTACTTTGTATATATTACCTGTGGGACTTGGGCAGGCTGCTTTGACTGCGAGGGTTGCGCGGCGATGCGATGACGGATCGGGTGTCTGAGGTAGAAAAAGATCCGCCCGCTCGAGGAAAGTGCGCCCCCCCATTTCGGACCCTCTACAAACAACAGGGTCCGCAGACCAACGTTTCCCCTGATAGAAAAAGGGTGCGGAGTGTTTTGCCAAGAATCCTCGACAACAAGTTGTGTCTGGAGGCCCAGAAATTTCACAGATGTTGTGCGTGCCCGCTCGAGGATGGCGCGTCCTGCGCGCAAAATCCTCGAGGATATCTCAAGCCAAACGCCTGTTTTGAAGAAGCGCCCCGGGTCGCCCAGACAGAGGATTCGTTGAGGATGTCTTGGGCGACGCGCTTGTTTGCAGGTGTCCAGGTCGCCAAGGCGGATGTCCAACATGAGTGTGTGTCGAGGATGTCTCGAACACACAGGTAGTTGTCAGATGTTGTCACGTGTCCAGGTCGCCCAGGTGGATGTCTGACATTAGGATCGGTTGAGGCTGTCTCGAGCGAAACGTTTGATGATCGCACGTGTCCAGGTCGCCCAGGCGAATATCTAACATGAGGATTTGTTGAGGATGCCTCAATCGAGCCGTTGGTTGTGATGTGTCCAGCTCGCCCAGGCGGGTGTCTAACACGAGGATGTGTTGAGGACGTATCAAGCGAAACGTTTAATGTCACGTGTCCAGGCCGCCTATGCGGATGTTTAGCACGAGAACGTGTTGAGGTATCTCGGGCCAAACGATATTTCTCAGGTGCCCAGGTCGCCCAGGCAGATGTCTAGCATTAGGAGTTGCTGACGCAGTCTCGAGCGAAACGCTTGATTTCACGTGTCCAGGTCGCCCAGGCGGATATCAAACTTGATGAGTTGCTGAGGATGTCTCAAGCGAAAGGCTTGGTTTCACGTGTGCAGGTCGCCCAGGCGGGTTCTAACATGAGAATTTGGTGAGGCTGTCTCAAGCGAAACGCTTGTTCTACAGGAGTGGTTGAGGATGTCTCAGGCGAGGGTATTGCCTGCAGCGAGCTGCTTTTTTGGCAGGATGAGTTGAGAACATTTCTATCGACACGCTGCTTCTGCATTGTTTGAGGAGGTATCGAGCGGGGGGCGTGTCTTGGAGTCGGTGTTTTTCGGTTCGGGTTCACCCCCCGTTCGGTTCGTCCCACTGTTGAAACTGAATCGGATCTTGTTTTCGAGCTGGTTGAACGCCCCGCATGTTTCGACTGCAACCTGCGTTGGGCGAGCCATGCGCGTAGACAGCTTTAGGTCAAGACCAAGATCAGTTCGGAGTGGGGTGTCAAGGATGGCTAGATCCACAACGCAACAGAGAAAAGCAATGTTCAACACAGCATGGCGCAGCACAGTGCAGGTCAATCGCAATTTGCGCCAGGATCGTGACCTTGGTTATCTGCGAGGGGGCTTGCCACCTCGGAGTGCGGCTCCCTCGCCAGGAGACGCTATGGGATTTCAGGATGATAGCCCGAACCGTATCCAGCTCTTCTCCGTATTGGTTTGTTTTGTCTCGGTTTCGAGTAGGGTCGGTTCAGCGTTCGTCTCGGCTCATATTGTTTCGGTACGTCTTGATGCAGTTCGTCGCGTCTTGGCTCGCCGCGCTTCGGCCGTCCATTCTCTGTGTGTTCCGCGTCGGTTCGGGGTTGCCCCCCATGGTACGTCCCGTTACGGAACGGAGCCAGATCTTGCATTCAAGTTGGTCGAGCACTCCGCGCGGCTTGATTGTAAACAATTCGAGCTAATTGTGCGTTCAGGCACGTCCAGCCTGAAATCCAGATCACTTCGGCGATGGTTCTGGCGTGGAGGACGAGGACGACTTGATCCACAATGCGCTAAAGCACAGTGCAGTTCAACGCGGCATGGCACATGTCAATTCATCACAGCACAGCACAGCCCATGGCACGGTACATCACCATCGTATTCTGAGTGTTGCGATTGCCCGTCGCCCAAGTTAGGTGCCTTCAAACGTTTCCATGCTTTACAACTTTATCGGAGGTTGGGGGGTGAGTCCGACGTGAAACGGAGACCCCCCCTACTGGGAAATCGATTTCTGTTTCGGATTCGTGTCGTGCGTGCCGTGCGTGCGTGCGGGCGAGACGAAACTGCGTGGGCGGGCGACAGGTAATCCTCCTGTGGCTGGGCCGCGGCCGGACCAAATGCAACTCCTCTGGCGGCCAGTGCCGCGCGGTGTCCCGCCGGTGTTTCGCGGGTGTCCCGAAATCCTCCTGTGGCTGGGCCGCGGCCGGACCAAATGTTTCTCCTCCGGCGGCCGGTGCTGCGCGGTGTCCCGCCGGTGTCCCGCTGGTGTCCCGCTAGTGTCCCGTGGTGTCCCGTGGTGTCCAGTTGAGTGAGATCGATCGTGAGATCGATAGAGAGATCGATTGTGAGATCGATGTGGTTCCCCGAGGTGTCCCGTGGTGTCCCGTGGTGTCCCGTTGAGTGAAATCGATAGTAAGATCGATAGTGAGATCGACAGGTGTCCCGTGGTGTCCCGTGGTGTCCCGTTGAGTGAGATCGATAGTGAGATCGATACTGAGATCGATGTGGTGCCCCGTGGTGTCCTATGGTGTCCCGCTGAGTGAGATCGATAGTGAGACCGATAGTGAGATCGACAGGTGTCCCGAGGTGTCCCGTGGTGTCCCGTTGAGTGAGATCGACAGTGAGATCGATCGTGAGATCGATAGTGAGATCGATGTGGTGTCCCGATGAGTCCCGTGGTGTCCTATGGTGTCCCGCTGAGTGAGATCGATAGTGAGACCGATAGTGAGATCGACAGGTGTCCCGCGGTGTCCCGTGGTGGCCCGAGGTGTCCCGTGGTATCCCGTTCAGTGAGATCGATAGTGAGATCGACAAGTGTCCCGTGGTGTCACGTGGTGTCCCGTGGTGTCCCGTTGATTGAGATCGATAGTGAGATCGGTTGAGTCAGATGTTGGTTCCCACCCGAAGGGTGGTCGTATAGGTACTATGTTTCAGGATTCGTGGTTCGACCATGTTCTTCGGGAAGTGTTGGGCCACTAAATTGCGTGGTGAGCTTCCGGACTACGGAATAAATCAATAACGGTTCCCGTTTGATTGTTTAATTGATTGACGACTCACGCTTCCCCGTTCCTGATTTCTTACCAATTTACTCAGGAATCGCGCTCTCGCGTAGGACTTCTTAGCAATCTATTCAGACGCCACGCCCTTGACAGTCAGGAATCACGCTCTCGTTTCTGATTTCTTCACGATTTCACAAGGATATGCAGTTTCGCTGGAGACTCCTTAATGATCCATCAGGACTCCCGCTTCAGCGATCCGCCCGCTCTATCAGGCCGTGTGGGCCCGCCCGCCCGGCCCACACGCTGGAGAGCGCAGTCGCCCTTCGTTGCCCTTCGCCTTCGTTCGATGCTTCTCGCTGCCTTTCAGGGTTCCGCAGTCGCCTTCAGCGGCTCCGCCGCAGCCCTCGTTGACTCCTGGCTGAGGCCTGCAGCCGGTGGCGTTATTATGCTGCTGATTTCGTACCCCTGGCTGAGGCCTGCAGCCGGTGGCGTTATTATGCTGCTGATTTCGTAATCTGAAAAGAAGAAGGATTGTTGGTCGCCCCTGCTCGGTGTACCTTTTGTTTTTACAGTGAGGTGCTCCCTCCCGGGCGCGCACCTGTTTTGTTACAAGGGATGTCTTCCTCCTCAGATTGGGTCCCTGGCCCCCGAACTACAGCAACAACGGTTCCCGCCGTAAACATCCTCACAACTGATTTCAAAGTCGCGTTCTCGCGAGGGACTTCCCCACAATTGTCATGCAGGAATCGCTCTCTCGCGTGGGACTTCCTCGCATCTTATTCAGACGCCGCGGCCTCGACGCTCAGGAATCGCGCTCTCGCTTTGTCTTTCCTCGCGATTCATTTTGGAATCGCGCTAAGGCTCGACACCTTCTCGCGGTTCATGCAGGACTCACGATTCAGCAACCCGCTTGCTCGACCTGGCCGCCTTGACCCGCCTTCCCGACCCGCCCGTTAGGGCCTACCCCCTGACCGCCCGATCAGCCCGTCAGGTTCTGCCACGTGCTTTCTGCTCCTAGCCCCCTCCTGCTAATCTCACTCGCGCTCCCTCCTGATCCCTCCCCCTTGCATCCGTCCTCCATTCCCTTGTTTTAGGGGCTGCGCCAATTAAACGTGGCAGACAAATGAAGACATTCCCCAAGAGGGTGCGATCGAAGGCGAAGAGGGCGGGGATCGAGGGTTTGGGATATTATTGAATTGAATGCGGGCAGGTAAGATCGATCAGTCTTGAAATGATTGCTGTTTTCGCTCAGCTATTGAATTCTCAATGTTGAGACTGATTAATATTGGTGCCCCCTCCGGGCTCCATTCATGTTGGTCCCCCCTCCGGGCTCCATTGCGTTTTCAATTCAAGTGTCCATCCCAGGCCTTGCACCCTTTTTCTTGAACAAGGGAAGTCTTGAGCGTTAGATTCTGTCGTTGCCCACCTGGTTTACCACGTTTGTCTGTTGCCCCACGGTTGTCGCCTGATGGTTATTCACGATGTGTTCAACATCGCGCTCTCGCGCGGGGAACCTCTTCACAAATCTTTCACGAATCGCGCTCACGCATAGGATTGCCGTGCAATTTCTTAAGACGCCGCGCCCTCGATACTCAGGAATCACGCCCTCGCCCTGGACCTCACGATTCACTTAGGAATCGCGCTATCGCTCTGGATTTTCTAGCGATTCATGCAAGACTGACGCTTCAGCGACCCGCCCGGTCGACCCGGCCGTCTTGGCCCGCCCGCCCGACCCGCCCGTTTGGGTCCGCCCGCCCGACCCGCCCTTCTGTCTGGTTCTGCCGCTTGATTTCCTGCTTTTAACCCCGCTTCTGCTAAGTTCTGTCGTGCTCCATTATTCTCCCATCCCCTTGTTCCTTCCCTCCTCCCTCCCCTCCTTTGTTTTAGTGGCTGCGCCAACTCTACGTGGCAGGTAAGGAAGATGACCTCCAGGGGAGTACGATCGAAGAAGAAGAAGAAGAGGAATGCGCGCATCGAGGGTGTGGGACATACGTGTTGGATGGCACGCGAGCAGATAGGAGCGAACAGCATTCAAATGAGTGTTGCTGTTGTCGTCGCCCCCCCCCCCCCAGCGACCCACCCGCGACCCGCCCGCGACGCACCCCGCCACGCACCCCGCGACGCACCCCGCGACCCACCCCGCGACCCCCCCCGCGACCCACCTCGCGCCCGCCTCCCCTTTGTTTCTTATCCGCACTTGCAGATGCTACGTCGTATACCGTGTGACGTGGCATCTCCTTCACCGTCGGCCCCGCGGCAGGGCTCCGGGGGGCGCCCACCTGCGGTGAGCTCCCCCTCGGGGCGCGGCGGCGGGGGGTCCTTCCTCGCGCGCGGTCCAGGACGGCGCCGCGGACGTCACGGAGGAGCTCGAGGTGAGGCTCGTCATCGAGGGGAGAGTGCAGGCCGCGGGGTCGTCCGTCGTCGCCGTCGCCCTCGCTTTCGTCGTCGTCGCCGTCGCCGTCGTCGTCGTCGTCGTCGTCGTCGTCGTCGTCGTCGTCGTCGTCGTCGTCGTAGTCGAGCGATCGATCGATCGATCGTCGGAGAAGAAATTGCACAAACATGAACTGTCGGAGCTCCGCGCGGATTTCTCGGGTCGTCGCCTGGGCCACCCCCCCTGGCGGAGCCTCCAGCGCCGCCCTGGCGCGTTCCGCACGCCAGGGAGTGCGGGGGGGGGATCCAGCGCCGATCCAAGAAATTCTCGCGGAGCGCCGAATGGTGCTGTTCATGAAGTTGTTCGTTTTTCTAATCAAGGTCAGTGGTGCGAGATTAGTCGGCCGCTTTCGGCCTCCTTGGGCATCTGGAGGGAGCGTCTTCGTCGACCGTCTTCGTCGTCTTCCTCTTCTTCCTCCTCGCCTTCTCTTCAGTTCAGAACGAGGACCCAACCGATTGAGGGTAGACGGAGCGACAGCTTGGAGTGTTCCAGGGCCACGTTTTTAGCGGGTCCCAATGGTATCGACGAAGTTGTGTGAGCTGGTTCTTGATGGACCACGGTCTACCCCCTGGGGTCGTCGAGATGTAAACCCAGGGTGGTGTACATTGGGCTGCAGCTGCAGCTGCAGCACCTCCAGAACCTGGCGTGCTGAACTCAGAACGCGAGCTTCCATGCGTCCTTCGGTTCGAATGTTTTAGTGGTGTGATCAAGATCCTGGTATTCTTGGTGATGCTGATCACGGACGAGGGGCTGCACGCGATCACATTGAAGTCGAACGCGTTGAGCAAGTAGTTCATTAGTTGGATGTCGGGCACGTTTCCACGGTCGTCGCAAGCCACCACGTTGACGCAAGCACCGAAAAAGTGTGTGTGTGTGCCTCTCCTGCTGTTGGACATTGTTGGGTGGGTGTTCTAAGCCATCAAGTTTGAAGACGATCAGCTCTAAGCAAGTGTGTCATTTCTGGGATGTTGGGCAGCTTTACACGGGTGTCGCATGCCACCAAGTTAAAGTCGAACGCGCAGAGCAAGCAGGCCCCCTTTCTGGTGATGGACATGGTTTCTCAGGAGTCGCTAGCCACCAAGTTGAACACGCAAGCGCCGAGCAAGTGTGCCCCTTGCCTGGTGGTCGACACGTTGCGACGGGTGTGTCAAGCGATCGAGTTGAAGCCAAAATCGCTGAGCAAGTGCATTCCCTCTTGGTTGCTTGAGAGGCGGCGGCAGGTGCTGCAAGCCACCAACTTGAAGACGACAGTGCTCAGCAAGTGATTGTGATCACCAGTATGTGGCAACCCGCAGTTGCGGACAAGAGCGACGGGGCGGGCGCGGGGTGGGTCGCGGGTGGGTCGCGGGCGGGTCGCGGGTGGGTCACGGGGTGGGACGCGGGTGGGTCGCGGGTGGGTCGCGGGTGGGACGCGGGTGGGTCGTGGGTGGGTCGCCGGTGAGTCGTGGGTGGGTCACAGGGTGGATCGCGGGTGGGTCGCAGGTGGGTCGCAGGTGGGACGCGGGTGGGTCGTGGGTGGGTCGTGGGTGGGTCGCGGGTGGGTCGCGGGTGGGACACGCGGTGGGTCGCGGGTGGGACGCGGGTGGGTCGCGGGTGGATCGCGGGTGGGACGCGGGTGGGTCGTGGGTGGGTCGCGGGTGGGTCGCGGGTGGGCCACGCGCCAGGTCGCGCGTGGGACGACGACAACAAGCAACAAATAACGCAACAACACCAATCACAACACTAATAATATCACCCATCAAAGAAATTCGAATATAGATAGACATAAGACGGATCATATTAACAATATTATTCACGATATTGAAGTTCATAGTTCTAATAATCATAATACTAGCAATAACACTGATACGAAGAAGCATGTTAGTAATACTGATGTTATAATATGAAGACGGACACCACTAATATTTTCTATATATGTAATATTAAAAATAACGGCAGCAGCAACAACAGCAATCCGCACCGCGGAACCCCATTCAGCAACGCCGGTGAATAACCGCTCGGCCACCTCACTCTGATAAGGTGCCTCAGTGACCGCCTCCTGTGGCTGCCATGTGTTGTTTGTTTGCTCCACCCGTATTCGCCGCTTCGGTTCCGGGGACAGGCGAGGAGACCGGCGCTCTTCCCGACGCTCGATCCCGTCGTCCTCCCCCCTTCCTCCCTCCCTTCGCCTTTCTCCTCCTCGCCTCCCCTCGATGTATCCTCCTCCTCCTCCTCGCCTCCTCCTCCTCCTCCTCCTCCTCCTCCTCCTCCTCCTCCTCCCTCCTCCTCCTCCTCCTCCTCCTCCTCCTCTCCTCCTCCTCCTCCTCCTCCTCCTCCTCCTCCTCCTCCTCCTCCTCCTCCTCCTCCTCCTCCTCCTCCTCCTCCTCCTCCTCCTCCCCCCCCGCTTCCTCCTTTTATTCCACCCCATCCTCGTTCCCCCCTCCTCCAGCGTGGAGCTGGGATGGGAGCCACTCTTTTTCGGCTGGATTCTCTGGCGTGTTGGTTGGGACGGGGTGGCCTCGGCCGTTGGGCGGTGGGCCCTGCCTTGCTCTTGCCGGGTCAAATCCTAAATCGTCGTCCCCCTCCTCCTCAAGGAGGTGGTAGCCGCTCCCGCCCTCTGTATGCAGTTCTCTTGTCTCTGAAGATCGGCTTCCCGTCAAGCGGGGCTGCTCCACCCTCCTAGGAGGTTGGGGGAGTGCTCGCCCCAGGCAGCCCACGGAGCCGCACAGTTCAGGTCTTGCGTCCATGCCTCACCCTAGGGGTCGGGCAAGTCTGCCAGAGTTGACCAGCAGACCCCCAACGGCCTCCTCCTCCTCCTCCTCTTCCTGCTCCTTCCTCCTCTTCCTGCTCCTCCTCCTCGTCCTCCTCCTCCTCATGCCGCCCGTCCTCTTCGCCGTATGTCCCCCCTCCTCCGTCCTCCTATACCGCTGCGCTGCATCCGCGGCCGGGCCGCGGGAGCTGGCCGACGCGCTCCCGCGCGGTTCCCCCCACGCCGCCCCCCCACGCAAGGCACGCACCGAAGAGGACCCGCCGCCCCGCCTCTTGCGCCTCTCCCCCCTGCCGCCTTGCAGAGCAGAGCGGAAGGTTCACTGCACATAGACGGAAAAGGCGGAAGGTTCATTGCACACGGTGGGGGAGAGGAAACGCGGGGTGGGGCCGCCCATCCGAGGTGGCCTTTGTCAGGCCTGTTACGGAGCTCCATCCCCCGCCGCAGGCCCCCGACAGGACGGCCCCAGCCCTCCACGCGTCAGCCGAAGTCTCCCTCTCCGGCTGCCATGACAGAACTCCGCGCGCGCCTGGACACGGCCTCCGCTCTGGCCTTGACAGCCCCGGTCCCCAGGGCCTCTGCCAGCTCGGTGCCCTCGAACCCGAAGGCCTTCAAACAAGCTGGGAGACCGAGGCGGGGTGCGGCGAATCCTATCACGAAGCCGAGCCTTGCGGAAGGATGAGGAGGAGGAGGAGGAGGAGGAGGAGGAGGAAGAGGAGGAGGAGGACATTCGCTGCCGTCCGCACATTATTTCGACCTCCCCCCTCCTCTTGCGGCGGCCCTACGTGTTCATGTGACCACTAGGCATCGGATAATGTTGCCACCTCTCACCTCCAAGCATATGTCCACCTTCTTTAACACAGTGGCGCTGCTCCTACAAGCCCTCGCGGGCTCTTCTGTTTGTCCTGTTATGTCATATTGTCGTTATTGTTTCAGGCATCTATTGTGGCAGGCTTAGCTGTTCTTCATATGGTTACTCCATCGCCTAAATCGATCATTACTAACTTTCTGCGTGGCCATCTCGTTGACGCTACGATTCGCCAGCCAGAGTTTGTGCAACGTAGAAAGGAGGAAGAGTTGTTGGGGGGTTGTTACCCCTTTCTGGTCCGCCTGAGGTGTCGTTGTTGCGACGATTCGGTTCTCATCGAACTCCTGGCCAGAACGCACCACAGGGCAGGTCCGTGGGCCGATTTCTGACCCACGACCTGGACCCCTCGCGACGTGAGGTATGTTGTCATTGCTGATCTCGTTTCCTTCCTCGATCCTTACGGCGAGGGTTGATGTAGACATCTTGTGTGTTGGCCGTTGCTGCTCTGTCTCTGTGTCGCATCTGCTGGCAGCCGCTCTTGTGCCACTGACCGTGTGTCGGACGCCCGCCCCTGGGCTGTAGGAAGAAGAGGAAGAAGGACGGAGTGGCAGCGGGGAGTTGGGCGGAGGAGGTGGAGGAGGACCTGAGACACTGGGCGCCGCGGCGGTACCGATCGCACGGCACGCGTTCTACTCCTTGGCGTGGGGCTCCAGGGGGCCGTTTTCGAGCCTACGTGGAGTCAGGCGCGATCCGCGGCAACAAAAGCAGTGTCCCGGGCATGGCACCGACAGATCTCAGGGGCCTGCGCCGCAGACCGCCAGCTCGGCCTCGAAGGTCCCTGCAGGGGGGCGCGGAAGAGGCGCAACGGAGGCGGAGCAGGGGCGCGACGACGAGGAGCATGGGGAGGTAGATGAGGTAGAGGAGGAGGTGGATGAGGAGAGGGAGGAGGGGGAGATGGAGCAGGGCTGAGGAGAAGGAGGGGAGGAGGAGGAGGAGGAGGAGGAGGAGGAAGACAAGAGAACCAGTGCACACCCTCCAGGTTCAATCTTAATAGGGCCGTACAGGTTTGTAAATCAAGTGAGGGTATTCCCCCGTTGAAACACATATGCTTGAGAGTCTTCCACTTTGCGACATCACCATTCCTGGCACATCAACGCCGCGAACCAACGTGACTGCTGCGTCCTGGTAATTCTAGATCGTGCCAGAACGCTTTTCCCACACCCGGAATCAGCGAAACTGTTGTTTTCTGGAGATCTGCAATCGCTGCAAACACCACTCAGTTGACTTCAACCCTAGAAGTCCTTGAACCCCTTGTGCAAACTTTCAAGGCACATTTGCGCGGCGCCCCGGCGAGAGCCACATATTTAAGAGGAGCCCTATCTGTGAGGTTGCTTCAAACTTGTAGGACGAATGCGCGAGACAGGCTAAGGCGGGAACCACATTTTGAAAGTCAGCCTCCCTCCATTTTTGCATTGCCGTGGACTTGAGGCCGGATGTGCGCGGTGCGAGAGCCACATTGAAAATCAACCGCCTTTCATCCTTGGCATTGCTGTGAAAGGTTTGAAGACGGAATTGCGCGGCGCTTAGGCGAGAGCCACATTTTGATAAGCAGCCGCCCTCCATCTTTGACGCTGCTGCAAAGATGGTAAGACGGATGTGCGTGGCGCCAAAGCGAGAGCCACATTTTGAAAATCTGCCGCCCTCCAGCTTTGACACTGCTGTGAGCTTTGATGCGAACGTGCGCGGCACTTAGGCGATAGACATTTTGAAGATCAGCCGCCCTCTATCCTTGGTACCGCTGTGAGCTTTCGAGACGAATGTGCGTGGCGCGAAGGCGAGAGCCACATTTTGAAAATCAGCCGCCCTCCATCCTTGAGATTGCTCCAAACCTTTTCGACGAATGTGCGCGGCGCTTAGACGAGAGCAAGTCTTTGAAAACCAGCTGCCCTCCATGTTTGAAGCTGTTGTAAGATCAAGACGCTTCGCGTCGCCCCAGCAACCCATCCAGAAACGATGCCCAGGCGAGATGCCCTGATCAGGGATGTGGAGGAGCATGCGGTGGAATAAAGGTCTGGGGAAGCCGTCATGACCTAAGAGGGGAAGGATGGCGGCGAATCGGAGGAGGAAGAGAAGAGAAAAGGGGGGGAGTCGGAGGAGGGAGGAGGGAGGCCGCCCTCCATTCTTGACACTGCTGCAAACTGTTAAGACGAATGTGCCCGGCGCTCAGGCGAGAGCATCATTTTGAAAACGAGCTACTCTCCATCCTGGAAGTTGTTGTAAATATCAAGGTTCCGGATCATGTATCAGGTTAAGCGCCCAGCCCGCCCTATCGACACGTTTGGGGCTGTGACAGACGGGAGTTGCTTACGAGCGAAAAGGATGGAGGTACAGGAGGAGGACGAAGGAGGAGGAGGAGGAGAATGAGGAGGAGGCAGGGAGGAGTAGGGAAGGAGGAGGGGATGAGGAGTGGGAGGGGGTGGACCAGGGCAGAGGATGACTAGGGTTGCGCCATGGCGAGGAGCTCGACGAACATTGCTGGAACAGTGGGCCCAGGCATAAGGAAGTGGGGGGATGGCGGAGGAGGCGAGGGGGGACCAGGAGCGGAGCGAGGAGGAGGGGCAGGTGAAGAGGGGAAAAGGGTGAGGAGGAGGAGGAGGAGGAGGAGGAGGAGAAGGAGAAAGGGAGGCGGAGGAGAAGGGAGGCGTATGAGAAGGAGGACGATGAGGGAAAGGGAGAGAAGAGAGAGGAGGGAGAAGGGAGGAGGAGGAGGAGGAGGAGGAGGAGGAGGAGGAGGAGGAGGAGGAGGGAAAAGGCGGAGCATCATCCGCACAAGGCAACAGCAGCACCAGCCAGGCGACAGCGGCGACGGTGGCTGCAGCAGAGCCAGCAGGGTATTAGACAGGGGCCAGAGTGGCACTAGTATCGGAAGCCGGAGGAGCTGGGAGCATTGGCATGAGCAGGACGATGAGCAGAATTTTGGCAAGGTAAGGTGGAATGTCAGAAGTTCGCGTGATCGGTAGGAGCAACACCGTACGGAGCGAATTGCATCCAAGGGAGGAGGCAGGAGGGATCGAAAGAGGAGGCAGGAAGGAAGAAGAGGACGACGCAGACGACACAGACGACGCAGACGACGACGACGACGACAATGACAACGACAGCGATAACGACAACGACAACGACAGCGACGACGCGCGTGGCCTGGTGCCCTGCCAGGCTAAACATGGCATCTCACTGATGCGGGAGCGCTTCGCTGCGGCGAGGTCCGACTGGGGCCAGGCAAGGAGGTCGAGGAGGTGTCATCCCGTGCGGTCCCCCTTTCTCCCACCACTCCCGCTCCACCCATATGCTTCCCTTGGAGGAGGAGGATGGAGGAGCGAGGGATGGGGATCGAGGTTCAGGGGGACTAAGGACAGAAGGGGACCCAGGTTCAGGCATGTGTGTCTTGTTGTCGGCCCATTTTGGGGCCTTCGGAGGTTCCTCATAACCTCTGAAGGTGGGACCTCCTGAGACTTCGAAAGTCGAAAGTCCCCCTACCCCTTCAAAGCCAGCCCCAGATATTTCTTGGAGTGCGTTTGAGGAGGAGGAGGAGGAGGAGGAGGAGGAGGAGGGAATGGACCCCCCCCCGCTCTTACGCAGCGCGTCTCATCTCACTGTTGGGCCAAACTCTTTTCGCTCCCTCGCCTGCTGCGGGCTGCTTCGGGTAATGCTCACGGCCTGCCTGGTGATCTTCTTCCTCATGCTGCGGCGCATCCATGATGCGATGGGGTTCACGTGGTCACTCCCCTCTGTTCGCTCCTTCCGCCTGGCGTAACCAACAGGCAAGCAACAAACAAGTGCAGGCATCGTGATTCCCAACCTTCCTGTGTTGTTTGGTCCTCGTTTTGAGTCCGCAATGCCGCGCGCCTCCCCCTTGTTCCTTCATTCCTCCATCGCGACCGGTTTCCGTGTGGCCTGGTGGCTTCTGTTGTCGACCGTCTGGTTTATTGTGGCAGGGCGCGCGGTTGGATGAGATCTATTGCGGACCGCGCTGGCTCTTAAATTAAAAGTCATGTGTGCAGACCTCTCTCGCTAGCTCCAGAACTGTTGGCCACTCCGAAGGGCTTGCATTCCCGCCCAGACAGAAGTGGCCGCACAAGGGACAATCAGATGGAGGCGTGTTGCAAGCAGGTTAAACCTGTAGTAGTAGTAGTAGTAGTAGTAGTAGTAGTAGTAGTAGTAGTAGTAGTAGTAGTAGTAGTAGTAGTAGTAGTAGCAGTAGTAGTAGCAGTAGTAATAGTAGTAGTAGTAGTAGTAGT